TTTTTTTTTTTTAGTGTTCTGTCTGACGACAGGTCCATATGACCAGGATCCTTCCATCCTTTTCTCGGACTGGGCCCTGTTCATATACGTTCTTGGCAGATGATCCAGAAGTGGTTTGCCATTGCCTTCTTCTGTGTGTGAATGGAGTAATTGTTGGGATGCCACGGAGAAACCGGGGAAGCCCCCGGATGAAAACTCCGTGTTGCCTAGACCACGGCCTTGCCCAACACAAGTTATAAATTCGGGCACCGCCGGGAATCGAACCCGAGACCCCAATACGCAATATTTAATACCCTGGCGCAGTTTGGATTATAAAAAAATCTAACTCCGTGTAACACAGTCCATCACGAGAAGATGCTAGTTGCTTAGCTTGTGAAGTATTTACCCGTTTTATGGAATCGGAATGTTCGTTACCGTATTCCCAAAAGCGCACGCTTTGTCTTCATCCTGATTAATTTAAATCGAGACCCCTTCCTTGAAGATCCGTTTTAATACGATCGTAATTTTTATATAGTGCCTTGGTCCTCCACGTGGTCTCGTAGCGGAAGGGCACAGGTGGAGGGGGGGATCTCCTCACTGAATCACTTTGATAAGTTTCTCGCCATCGCCACGTTCTCCTGAGTCCCGTGTTTTGTTATCACATGCTCAGTCTTTGTTCTCGTCTTACGGCGAGAGTTCAAGGTCACACATACAAATTTGGCAAGATTATGGTTCTGTGCGTTTTAATCTTTTTGTTTTCGAGAGGAGACGGTATTTCGGTTGGAAAGTAGCCAGTCAGGGCAGTGACTCCTGCGTGTGATAAGGCGCCAGCTACATCCGCGGTTATCTTGGGTCAGGAAGTTGCTGGGAGGAACGTCGAAGCGGTCGAATGCTTGGATGTAAGACGAATTGATGACGGATGTTTGGTTCCAAATTATTTTCATCTCTCCAGGCACAGGCTTGACAATATTCCTAATAAATCCCAAGAGGTCGAAGACATCGTCAGTTGGAAGGGGGTCCTGTATGACGTGACCTTGAGAGTTGGCACTCACCTGGTTCCCGAAGACGCCGATGGAGCACGCCGAAGAGACCTCGTTGGGGCCGAACCAGACGGCTGCCAGGCGCGGGGGGACGCTCAGGATGAACACCTGCGACACGGCGACGAGCGTCTGGCCCACGAAAGCCACCGTGAACATGTGAGGCGACGCCGACGCCACCTTGATCCACGACCCGCACGCCGTGCCAAGCGCCCCCAATATGGCGGACACCCGCAGTCCCTGGAAATGAAAGCGTACTCTCACTGTTTCCTCCGAAATGCCCGAAGAATCAAAATCTTCTACCGAGGGCTCCTGTCCAGACAAGGAGGCGCCCCACTGTTTTCTGGGTGCCGAGGCCCACTTCTGGCGATATTTGGACGACAGTGACGTTACGGATAACTGGCGGGGCGGACTCAACTTAAAGTACCCTCTAAATAGTAAGGGCGTAGTACGGAAGACAATGAACGCGTATGAAGCTGTAAGATTCGAGGTTCTCACGGTAGTGAGTACGAAGATGGCTCTCTTCTGGGTTGTAGCGCCGTGTAGTCTGGTAGAAGTTTAGCAGCGGCCTCTGAAACGTCGGTAAAATTCTACCAGACTACACTACGTTTTGAAAATACGTATTTGACAACCTGAACACGCGTTAATGGCAAAGTTATATTTGATTTAAGGTTCTTAAGAGGAAGATGTTCATGTTGTTGGTCTGCAGGGTATAGGGAGATACCAACGTTTCGGAGAAGCATACTGCCTCCATCTTCAGGGCGCAATGCAGCTCTGAAGATAGAAGCAGTGTGTTCCTATATTTTCTGCCGACTAGTTCACAACTCAGAAGACCAACAGACACAATTTTAAGTGTTTTATTTTCGCGAACTAAACTGAAGACGACATGGACTGAAGGTGGGATAAGGCACACGAACCAAAGGATTTTTAGTTACTCGTCGATGTTTTCGTTAATTCTGATTGTCCTCACGTTCATTCTAATTTCAAAGCTGCGTAAATGTTTCATATAACGGAATACGTGCCTTAAATTTTTTGGAATTGCGCGAAAATATTCGAGGCTACTGTTAGATTCACGCGAGCTTCAGAAATTCATCATCAGTGATTGGTTTATCGTTTCTAGCAATATTTCTTACTGACAACAAATTTTATAAAGGAGTGGTTTGTTAATATTCTTGTTCCCAGACCACGTGCCATGAGCCCTGTCTGTTCATCCTCACATTTCCGCTAAACACTTTCATTTGACAGTCATTAAGGCTTTGGCCGGGATGTTCTTTTGTTAAATCTTATGTGGTACCGCCTGATTCGACTTCTAATGGTTAAGTGAAGTGTTTTCTTCGCGGTACGGTCTGGATTCGTAAATAATATTCAGACGATCTTCGGCTTCAAAGGGTTAACAGGCGCTTTGAGAACGAGGAGAGTGGAACTTTCCCACCTGAGAGAGTGGACCTCTTAATCCCATGTCTCGTTCTCTTAGAGGGTAAGTAATTGGCCGGAGTGACTTGGGAAAAGCGTGGAGGCTGACGTGGCGTCGTGTGGGGTGACCGCAAATCACGGTTAACCAGACTCTTCATGTCAGGAAGTTCTCCACTGTTCGAAATATCGAAGGAATTTGCTGCCCTCAGACGAGAGTCCCACGCAGTCATCAGCCCCCCAACTCCTCCGGAAATCGTAAGGAACAAAGCTCGCGAAGAAGGCGTGAGAATTGCCTCCGAGGCTTCCGACACCCTCGCTGTCCTCACGCGGTCGACTTCACTAAACTTTATTCTTCCTGAGCAAGTGACTCGGCGATGTTACCGCCCGATTATGAGGTCCAGCCACAGAAGCTTCAGTTAAACAAGCTTGGAAATTGCATTCCGTAGCGGAGCGCTCATAACATCCACGTGCGTTGTCTGCAACGTTCGTGCAGAAGTGTTAAATCCGCTTAATGCAATGTGGTTGCCTCCTCCACGATCCTAGGCACACGTGGCCGCAGTTGACGCCCGTTCGGAAGTCCTTACATGGGACATGCAGTGGGCGAGAGGTGAATCCTCCGGTAGGAGGCCCCTGCTCTCTCCTCCATTTCCAGGGTAGAAGTGATAACCTACAAGAACTACTTGGCGTCATAACACAGAGGACCACAGCTGTCGCCGCCGAGGAAACTTCAGATGTCCTCTGTTTAATTAATATCTTCCGTCCGTCCTGTTTTTGCAGGCAGATTTCTCGTACGAAAAGCTGAATCAGAAGGGAGACTTTCAGTTTGTTGCTCCGGTTACCTTAACCTGAAAGTGATTCGTGTCTTACCTTCAGCGTAGTAAGGTGCGAGGCACTTTTGATATTTACCCACAAGAGTCAACGTTCTGGACACGATTTAAAGTTACGACACGTAATTCGAGTGTTGTATCGATATTCTCTGATCTCCGCTGTCTGATATCACATCGATAACGGATCCTGACTGCGAAGTTGCTTTGTGAGCAGCTTGGAAGTCCCCGCTAGCCTATTCAGATGAAAGTCTCGAAGACAAGAGCAAGTTTTGGAGAGAGCCCCGAAAAAGTGATCAGATTTTAAGTACAATTTGAAGTTTTCACGTCGATGAGTCCGAAGATGGCTTCATTCTGAACTGTAGCTCCGTGTAGTCTGGTATGAGGAAGTTCACCGACGTCTTAGAGGTCCTTGCAGCCTCCACCATGAGGGCGATAAATCACCGGACCTGACTCCATTGGACTTTTATCTGCGGGGTCACTTGAAGTCCTCCGTTTATGTAACACCCATAAGCAATGATGACGACCTATGGGAACGTGTGCAGTTGATTCGAAGACACCCTGGAGTGTACGAACGAATTCGTGAGTCGTGTGTACGTCGTGCTCGCGCATGTGTGGAGAATGGAGGAACAACCTTTGAGCATCTGTTATAGAGAAACATCCTTGTCCTTACACTTGACAATAAAGGCATAAGTTGAAAATTATTTTTGGCTATTATTTCGAAAATTAAACATTTGCGACCCCAAGGTTATAGGAACATTATTTCTAATTTTTGATCCTGGAACACGCACACGAAGTTTGTAAACATACTTCTGACTCACCCTGTATATATAGATTTCTTCCGCGTGGACTACAGTTTTTTCTGATTTCATCCGACGTTTGGTATTTTAAAAAAATAGGCGTGGTTTCGAAAACTTGGTCTGTCCTCGTCCTCGGGACGAGAGGAACCTACCATTTGAAAGAGCTAACTTCAGTCACTGGCTACCGGCGTCATAAGAACCCTTTAGAATCAACTCGTGGCTCGTCTGCCGTACTTAAGGGAACAAGAGAATTCCAGAAAATGGACGTCACTGCAAATGAAATTTGGCTGTCAAGTTACCATCTTGTCGAGGAACCACGAGGCTGGGAAGATCAGAGGCACGTATGTGATCATGTAGATCATGGAGGTCCAGTTGACAGCGACGCTGTCCACTCCGTAGAACCGCGTCACGATGTTGCTGATGATGGAGTACTGGATCCATTGCATGGCGTTGGACATGGAGTACAGGACGAAGATTAGCAGCATCACCCATCGCCATTTGTACAGCTTGCAGCGGTGAGCCTCCTGCTGGACCTGGAGGCCGTCGGCCAGGTCGTTGGTTCTCATGTCCTGCTCGTAGGGGGGGCTGTTACACTCCCCGAATCAAAGTAGGAACAATCATCATTGTTGTAATAGCACAAAGCTGTCGGGCTGTTACTTTTTTTAATATTATCTTAGATAGACTTCAGACTACTTTACAACCGCCTAGTTAGATCAAAAGTTGAATGTGGTTCTGTGCCACCGCTGACTCCCAACAAACGTGAACGCATTTAAAAGAAGTTCTAATAGATTTTATGTTAATCGTTATCCGTGTAATTGACAATCTAAGACTGAGCACATTACATTGACAGTCGGCGTTATTTTAAAGCGTTATTCACAGGGGTCGTTTATAACGCGTATATTATTATTACGTGCCCTTCGCTTTTCGCATTAGAGTTTCAGGCAAGAAGTTAAGGGACTTCAACATTTTCAACTGTTCGATGCTCCTTCGTTCTTACTGCAATTCGTGTTAAGGCTTAATGTTAGGTTAGGTTAGGTTAGGATAGGTTAGGATATGATAGGTAGGGTTATGTTATGTTAGGTTAGGTAGGGTTATGTTAGGTTAGGTTAGGATAGGTAGGGTTATGTTAGGTTAGGATAGGATAGGATAGGTAGGGTTATGTTATGTTAGTTCTGTTCTGATAAAATTTGTAACACAAACCTTTTGTTTAAATTCGTTGATCTGTAATTATAATTTTTGTTATATTGTTGTGTACTGTGTACTATGATATATTTCTTTATTTACTTCGAGTAAGTATTGGCTTGTTTTTGTTTTAATCTTCTTGTGCTGACTCTGCAGTCGACTCGTGTAGCTGTTATCACCTCAAGATAAGGAATGAAATTATTATCAGAAAGGTTAACTTCTTACGCGGAAACTACACAAGTTCTTATCTGCGTTCGAACTCATTAAAATTCGTCCTCTCGTATTTTTAGTGATAAGTGTATCGTAATTTCTGTTAATCCGTTTATGAGCATGAATAGATTGGAGTTCATGAATAAGTCTTAGGCTTTATTACGTCCAGAATTATGCTCGTGTTCTTACGTCACGTGTGATTTATTGCTGTGTTCACGTGGACGTCCGCGTAATAAACAGCCACAACCACGCCAATAGATTTCTGTATCGTCCAGAAGCGTTCGAAATAAACAGTTGTGTATTAATTTAGAAATTACACATTTCAAATCTTTTGTCTCAGTGTTCATTGCTGTGTGAGCCTATCAAAGGCTAGATCAGTTTCTACGTAGAATATAAAAACACAGGTGGAAAATTACCTTGATTAAAGGCAAGCGATGAACACGCAGACCAGACGTAGATGTGGGCGCATCGGTGGTTTGTTGAAAAATTTCGTAACAACGAAAAACGAATATCTCAGAAGGTGACGTAGACTTCCGAAGTAAAGTTTGTAGGATATTAAAAGAGAATTCTGATGTAACATTCGGCCTTATATTACACTTCACAAAACGAACTCGTTTGAGTCCCGGAACGAACACGATTATGTCCTTCGGAGTGCTTTAAAGTTGCATCAGGATATTGTAGAGTTGTCTACTCCAACTATTTTAACCGGTACGCTACATAAATGTCCCTGATCATGCAGACAATTCTAGAAGGTCGTTTTTGTACTCCAAGAGGAAGTCCTCTGTCGGGGAAATTCTGTGAACTCGTTTCTGGATATATAATTATGATATACAAAGACGCGTGTAGAGTTAAATCCTTATAACTATGATAAGGTCCGCGTGTTCCCCCCCCCCTCCAAAAAAGAACATAACCTCGTTGCCAATGTCAATTAAAGCTTCTTTCCTGAGTAAAAGACAATACGAGGTGCGATCGGAAAGTTTAAAGACTGTGTCAATAGCGGGCGAACCGGATGTAGTACGAGCTTCTTTGCCAAAGACTTGCCAAAACGGCTACGGAAACCTATGAAATGCTAAAGCAAGCATTTGGGGAGTCCGCAAACTTTTGTGTGGCATTCACGTTTTAAAAATGGCCGAACCTCTGTCGATGATGACGAGCGTTCTGGACGACCATCTTCGAGCACAACGCCCGAAAATGTTACGAAGATCGACGTCGTACCATCAACGACTTGTGCGACCTTGTTGGGATAGGCTATGGGACCTGTCAGCTGATTCTAAAGGAAGAACTCTACATGCGACGCATCATGACAACGCGCCAGCGCACACCGCCCTCAAAGTTCGCCAGTTTTTGGCCTCAAACACCATGGCCGTCATCCCGCACCCTCCTTATTCGTCGGATTTAGCTCCGTGTGACTTCTTCCTCTTCCGAAAGATGAAAATTCAAGGGAAGGAGATTTGAGACGATAGGAGAGATTCAGGCAGAATCGCAGATGGTGCTTGACAGGCTGACAAAGAAAGATTTCCAGGGATGCTTCCAGGCTTGGCAGCGGCGCTGGGATCGTTGTGTTCACTCCCAGGGGAACTACTTCGAGGGTGATGGATGAATTTAATACCTGAGATAAGTGTACGGGTTTTTATACGCGCAGTCTTGAAACTTTCTGATCGCACCTCGTACGTGGGTGCTTTGTGCTTACTCAGGAATTTGTCTACAACCGATCTGAATGTCTCTCACGCTATCTTCCTCAGTTCCTTCCACGACTTCATCAGAATTACCGTCATTCATAAGTTCTTCGCCTGAGGACCGACGATGATCCATTACTTTATCCTAGTATCTCTGATCTATGCAAACTTGTGTTGAAGATAACGAAAACCTTCTCTACTCCGGTTCATGGCCTCTACAGAAGTTTCTTCGGCCAAAGCATCACGTGACGTGAACGTAGAACTATTTTCCTGGGACCTACAGGTGGGCAATCTTCATTGTCGTTCTGCTTGCGACGAGGATGTTCTGTCTCAGAACAGAAATATCACAATATCGTACGTTAAAATCACCAGGAAGCTTGTGCGCATGCCCAAATGCCTTAATCGGTTTATCAGCTTTGTTGCAGTGGGACTCATCACCATCGTTAGGAAACGTTCGAAGCGTTTTTTCAAGGTCACGAGAAACTGAGTTCTTGTATTCTTTAGAAGATTCCATCTTTGTAATCTGGAACCAAGAACGTCTGCTAATTTTGTTTAGAGATTTAAATGTCGTATAAGATGAAGCCACGGTGGTCTAGCGGTTAGAACGCTGACCTTGTAATCCTGGGGTCTCGGGTTCGATTCCCGGCGGTGCCCGAATTTATAACTTGTGTTGGGCAAGGCCGTGGTCTAGGCAACACGGAGTTTTCCTCCGTGGCATCCCAACAATTACTCCATTCACACACAGAAGAAGGCAATGGCAAACCACTTCTGGATCATCTGCCAAGAACGTATATGAACAGGTCCCAGTCCGAGAAGAGAAAAGGATGGAAGGATCCTGTTCATATGGACCTGTCCTCAGACAGAAAACTAAATAATAACAAAAAAGAGGATGAAGTCTGTTGCGTTGGATCTTTGGCAATGAAATAGTACAAGCTTAGTCGAGGACTGTGGAAGATATTAAATAATCATAATGCCTTTTATCTTATCTCTTCAGATGCTCAGGAAGACGTTAGGTATTTTAGATAGAATTGTACAATGTAAGGAGACTACATTTTAACCCTTTGAAGCCGAAGATCGTCTGAATATTATTTATGAATTCAGTCCGTACCGCGAAGAAAACACTACACCTCACCATTACGAAAATCAGCTGGTTAACCCTTTGAATCCGAAGCTCGTCTTCATAATATTTACGAATCCAGACCGTACCGCGAAGAAAACACTTCACTTAACCATTAGAAGTCGAATCAGGCGGTACCACATAAGATTTAACAAAAGAACATCCCGGTCAAAGCCTTAATATCTCCTCCTCGTCTGAGGCTATGACGTCACACACTATTACCACTCGATTTTTATGAACCTCGGCTGTGGTTTGTGTTGCGACATTTATCTCGCTGATATCCGTAATTGGAGAAGTGACGCTCGGAAGATAAACATGGCGACACGATGTCATGCCACGCCACGTTCGCCGTTCATAATACCGCGGTGTCAACAATTCCAATATGGAAACCGCGCGAAATTCCGAGGTGTGCGTGTTGCACTAACGGTACATTTTGATGCGTCATTTTGGGCGAAAAAGCTAATCGAATATTTTATTTTTATACTTTCTTTAACGAGGCTTTTAGTATCTGAAACTATTTGGCTTCGGATGAGAGTATGATGGTGGATAATGAAGTGGAAAGGATGTGGAAGGAACGGTCGTTCCGTAATTTAAGTTTCAGTCTCGTCATTTGCTTAAAGAGACTGAGGAATACCACGATAAACCTCTGTCAGGATAGCCAGTGTTCGGGCCGAGATTTTAACCAGAGACCTCCGGAATACGACAACTCGACCACGAAGATTGGACGGAATTTTATAGAAAAGTTCAGAACTGAGGGAACCTAAGCCTTGGCAGGCATAATGAGTAAGAAATGCGTACAAAATTTTGGTTAGAATACACGAAAACACCGCATCGTATTTCCATATTCAAGGGCATGTCATGGAAACTTAAACTTTTTCTTTTGACCTAAGAACTGCTTACTTAAGTATAAATTCAATGGTAAATCCGAAATACATTTGGCATAAATTTTAGAGTGAGTTTCGTCGTACGCGTTCTCGCATATCATCTGTTCCAATTCGGTATTACAACCAGCGTCAGTATCCTATCCGCGGCCACAAACGACGTTGCTGTAACAACGTTGAGAACTTTCAAGTCCTTCCTCCTCGAACTATGGAACAGCGTAGATTTCAAAGCACATCAACACTGGAGGTGGTGTTAGCAGTGGCCTCAGCGTAAGAAAAGAGCTGATAAATTTTTCAGTGTCCTGTGCACGTTGATGCATTACGAACTAATAAAATCAAAGCGTGACACATCGTCTTCCTAAATTCCTTCAATCACTCCATTTCTCGTGACCTTGATTGCTTGAAGTGACTTGGCTTTAGCCAGTGACCAGGAGCACCTTTGAACCTGAGGTCTGTTCTGCTTCAGCTGGATTGTTCGTGCGCAGAGAATCTTTGCTCAGTCACTTTTTAAATTTAGTACAAAATTCCCCGATGCTGTTAGAATGCATTCTTACCCATTCATTATCGTTTTATCTGCATCTTCTATGAATGCAAATACATAGAAGCTGTGGTTTCAGTTTTCATTAAATGATTTGGACCCACTGAGCAGAAGGAATCGACTATTGGGCGATGGATCGAATGTACTTTGTTTAAGCCAAGCAGTGAGCTTATATAAAAGTCGGAATTTTGTACTGCATGGATCTGTCGAGTTAACTCTAATGTTCGCCAAGTCATGAAATGTTCCAGATTTCGCGAGTTCTCAAGAAGTTCACTTTCAGAAAGTGCGCAAAGCTGAACCACGGGAAGCTTCTTGGAAAAGAGTTGTGATTTTATGGGTGCTCTGCCCCGAATGTACGAGGATCACTCCAAAAGTAATGCATCATATTTAAAAAAAAAAAGAAACTTTCATTCTATCGCGTTGCTGTTCGCAGAGAAACATTCGTCCGGCTTCTGTTATAAGTTAGTTCATCCTTCTCCCGCAAGTGGCGCATGTGTATCATTCGTTCAAACATGGCCGCCGCTGTCCTTGACGTTCGTCAGAAACAACGTGCTATTATCGAGTTGCTGGTGTGTGAGAACGAGACAGTGGGAAACATCCACAAGCGATTGCAGAAGGTGTACGGGGAGGATACTGTCGATCGAAGCAAAGTTAGTCGCAGGGGCGCAAAGAACATCAGGCGAAGGTGGACATGGACACATTCGCGATTTTCCTTACAGCTGCAGGCCACAGTCCAATGTTGAGAGGGCTGACAGACGCATAACTGAAACAATTGTCACTCCGACTGGACATTGCAGGAGCCAGTGTGTGTGTGCGGAATATTGGAACAGTTGGGGGTTTCCGAAGGTCTGTTCGAGGTGGGTCTACGTGGGGGACAGTGTTGCCACACCGTCAGATTATCACCTGTTAGGTAAACTGAAAGGCGGTGTTCGTGGGACAAAGTTCGAGAGGACGATGACTCCCATGTGGCATCTGTGAAAAGGTGGTTCAGAAACACTGATCCTGAGTTTTACCTTGCCCTAGCTCCGAGGTGGCGTAAGGCAGTTGAGAGAGACGGAGACTACGTTGAGAAGGGAACATTTTGAACCTGCCCGCTGTGTGAATAACAGAGTTGTAAAATCAAAATTGATTTTTTTTTAAAAAAAATATGGTGCATTACTTTTGGAGTGACTCTCGTAACAGTACTTTGGATGTCGCAATGGCAGAGAAGATAATATTAAAATTTATGTTACCACAAATTGCTTTGCCATGTTAGTACTGTGGTCCCCGGTTTGCAGGCTGGTTGCATTCGGCACGGTCAGGTAGACATTCAGAGCGGCCTGGTCCTGTGGTTGGCGTCTCAAAAACACAGTTGTGGATGGATGGATGGACGGACCGTTATTATTATTTACAGATCCTTTTGTGAAAGTATCGCTTGTAACTTGCTTGGAGCGCTTCACTTTCCATTATTACCGCTACTATTGAAGTTAAATACTGCTAACAAGAGACGTGGAGGTTGACGGAAGAGGTGCGATGTTTGTCGATGCGCGCGCAGTCTCTTCCCCACTGTCGGGTCGCGAAACCCGTGGCGACAATTGCAACTATTCATGTCTGTTGAGTCGAGAGATACCGCCGGTGTAGATAACCGAACACACGCAATTTTATCTCGCGATAAGGCGTCTGCGAAGGATGCTGATGGCTGTTTACCTGGTCGTTACCAATTTCACAATACCCGGCTACTTGACACTGTTCTGGGCCGGTTAAATCCAATCCACACCATAACATCAGATTTCTTTAAGATCAATTTCCATGTAACTAATTCCAGAGTCGTTCTTGAGAAGATTTTAATTAATCTTCCAGGTTCGCTTTCCTTTCATGCCTCAAAACCAAAATTTTGCACAAATTTTGCATCTCCCCCCCCGTCTCATCCTCCGTGATGTGATCACCCCAATAAAAATTGGCGAAGAACAGAAGTTATGAACCTCCTCAATATGCAGTATTCTCAGGCCAATTATTTCAGCCCTCTGAAGTTTGAATATTCTTCTAAAGACGGCGTTCTCAACACCCACGGTCTGTGTTCTTCTCAACTTACGAGAGTCGACGCTTATAGTCAAAGTTAAATGAACTATAAACTATAAATTTACGTGAGAGACCAAATTCTGTTCTGTCCTTACGGTGTCAGTCGCAGATGGGGAGAGAAAATGTCCCTGACAGCAAGAAATCCTGGAATTCAGACTTCCCTTAATGTTCTCGTGATTTGTTAATGGCATTTCGAGATTTTTAAAATCTACAAAATTTTTCAAAGATTTTAGCTTTAGTCTGGCTACAAGATATTCACGTAGTTTTATTTGTAGCCAAAATTCATTACCAAGATTTTAAAAGTATTCTCACTTCTGTGTTAAGGTTCCCCAAAAGCGTTTTTTACACGAAGTTTATTCCACCAAATGCGCGTTGCTCAATTCTCCTCATGGAGAACTCAGTTAATAAATTTGCATATAAAGAGCCAAATGAGCTTATCACTTGGACTGACTAGGCAAAGGGGATCTTGGACGCCTGACTTTGACAACTCAGTGTTTCTTATGTATTGTGTTACCTACAAACGCGATAACTATTCTTGCTTGCAATGACATAAATTTCCGAGGTTAACATCGCCCAGTGTTTATAAAATTTGGCTGAAAACACCTTCATACATAACACGAACACACGTTATGTGTTTTCCTACCGAATATAACTCGTTCACTCTGACTCCTATCAAGATCAAAGCTTATGTAGAATTTTCGCAAACTACAATTTTCTGCGAATAAATCCTACAATATAATAATGTTTACAGAAGTAACATACATTAGATCATTAATCATCAAAAATATTTCAGAATCTTTGGCCTACATTAAATTATCATTTCCAGATCATTAGGTCACACAGCGCCATGCTGGTATTATCGATTGTAGAGTATCTAAGGGCGAAACTACAGTGATGTTCGTACCAAATTTCGTGAAAATCCATCAGTTTATCCTAATTTTATTGAGGGAATGTTAACACGCGTGGTGTTACAGCAAAGCAGAGTCAGCTGTTTTATTATTGTTTGCGTGTTGACGGAATCTCGCGAGACCCACTCCGTCAAGAAGCTATGATAAATTAAAATAGGCCACTACCAATTCATTCCTTGTCCTTGCCACGTTCTAACTTACTTCATACTCTGTGCAGCAGAGATGATGATGGGTCACTTGTACATGGCACGACCAGCCACGGCTACAGTTCGCTGATAACTGAGTCATGGGTCCGTCTGCTTGTGAGACCCGCGTGGACGAATGGATTGCCTTCCTCATTAGTGCCCCATCACACACACATACACACATTCATTCAGCTTCTCGAAGAATGTTCTGAGTTCAGAGGCTCATCAGTCTATCCTGACCGAAGTTTTTCGTGGTTGAATTCGGCCCCCCCCCCCAGATTCTGCGATATTACGTTAAAAGAGCCACAAAATTCACTTCAGGGCAAAAATCATCTGAGTCAGTGGCTTGCCCGACGTCTAAATTGCCTCCATTAACTTGGGATTATAATGTGACTTAATGCAACTAACTTTTTGTATTAATAAATTAAACAAACAGCGAATTAACACGTTTTGTACAAGAGAGAACGTGTGACTACAGTTAATTAATTAATTAATTAATGCATTTAAATTATAGTTATAAATTAAATAAATAGTAAAGTAGCAAGTTTTTACAAAGGAAAAAATTTATTAAAGGCTAGAAGTTTTATGTGGTTAGGATTGTTTACGTATGATAAATTTCTTTCGAATTTTGTTTCCTAAACGACTAAAGACACTCTATCTGAAAATCTGAAAGCTTTTAACAATTTCAGCTGAGACCATATTAATATTTCTGAAATGCCCACACCTTAAAATAATGGTCAAATATATCGGATTGAGGAATATATTGAATATATTTCTATTCTGAAAGCGAATGCTGATTGTCGCATTCGAGAATAATTTACAAAACGGAAATTCAGTTTGTGTGTAGTAAAGAACACATCAGCTGAGCTGCACCTTGATTTTTTTTAAAAAAATAGATTCTAACAGTTACTTTCATTATCTGTACCAGTTATCTCGTTTCTGAGTGTAAGTATGTAAGCCCTATTTGGCGATTAGCCGCCTAAATCCACCTCCGTTAAACAAGCGTTAACACAACGCGTGATAACCATCGGTGATGTTTGGCTGCGATCACAGAGTTCTTGAAGTTCTCAGTAGTGACACAAGATGGCAGAGTTCTCTGCTTGCATCTTACAACTAGTGTCACCATTCAGCAGACTTTGGAACTATCTGTAATATTAGTGACGCAAACCTTGAATTGAGAGGAATGACAGTAGAAACGTTTACGAAAACGATAAGTTAAAAGGAGAGAGAGGAATAAGGGATTGAAATGCGAAAGGAATGTGGGCGTTGTTTCAGTTACAGTGAAACAGCAGCCACTGCGCTAAATTGCACTTGACAGCAGTGCCTGGATGATCTTGAGTCCGAATGACAAGGATCTGGAGGTGTTGGTAATTTTATTACCACCTATGTTTCTGTTACTTCAGTCCTGAAGATGGAAGTAGCATATTTCTCCGAAACATTCCTGTCAGCCTACGCGTCCACACGTGGATGCATCCTAAATGACAGATGTCGACATATCCACCGCCTTGAGAACCTCAGAGATCACTGCTTGTCCATTGCGTTGATGCAAAAGCGATCTATAAATCACAGAAGAAGGCAGTGGCAAACCACTTCTGGATCATCTGCCAAGAACGTATATGAACAGGTCCCAGTCCGAGAAAAGGATGGAAGGATCCTGTTCATATGGACCTGTCGTCAGACAGAACACTAAATAAATAATAAATAAAAATACCTTACATTACATTACCTTACATTACATTTAATTACATTACATTACATTACTTTACATTACATTCATCTACCACAGACCCATCTTAAGCGTAACTAATTTAAGTTGATTAAGCAAAGTCTTAATCAAACTTATCTCAATCGTAAAGCATTTATAAAGGAAATATTTAGAATGAAGCCAATATATAAACTTCCTTTCCGTATAGACGTATTTACGTCAGATTCTCCGGAACCTTGGTTCCACTGCCAATATTTTTCTTTTCGATCTGATAGGCTGATGAACCTCTCACAAGAGCCGTGAGCCGACCGCAAAAGTGGACTATATCGCAAGCAAAGAAACAAAATTTCGGGTATAAAAAAACTCCTTGAACCAAAACCTGTTTTATTAACAGCGTTATTTTAATGTTCCAGACCCACGCACACAGCAGCTGAGAAATTTTAGGGACCCCGGGGGGGGGGGGGGAGTCGATTTTCGTGATGTTATTGGCACATACTACCTGTATCAATAACATGAGACGTTAATAGACAAAAGAAATTGCTTCTGAAGACGTCGGCGTCCTTGAAATAATCATTCAGTTACGTTTACTTCTTCGGTGAAAATGATAAGAAAGTATTGAGATTACTAGACATTACTAAATAAGAGACTTTACACAATTAGAATTAAATAAAATTAATCAGTGGTGAGAAGAGATAGGGCGGAATATATATGAATATATTAATGTAATTAGTGCCACGGTTATTATAGAATATTATTAGGGGAAGTGACTTTACTATCGTACATGTGGAGGTCCGAGCAGACTTAATTGGCATCTTGCAAGACAATTTAATCGAAGGGCGGACACTGAACACAGAAAAACTCTCTCAGGCACCGAGGAGGAGTTTCAAGACCAACAACATTCCAGAAGGTTAGGTCAGTGTTTGAGACGTCGGTAAACTTGGGCAAGCAACAGATTTTTGCTAGTTTTATATACACCAAAACATTAGCACAGCTGTAATGGACGTTGGAGGAGGGCGACGATTATAGCAAATGGTTGCAAACTTCTTATAGATAGATCCCGGTCTGTTGACGTCAGTTGTCGTAATAGAATTCCGAAAGACAGAGGCGTATTTAAGGTAAAATATAACTTATACAATAAGTCGAGAGAAGGGAACGAAAATGTTAAATTGCCGACAAGACCCAGCGACTTAAAACGCTCTGAAAACGTGAAGGCAAAATGGATGTGGAGTCTGAGTTTGGAATCAACTAATCCTCCCAAATCTTTAATGCAGTCAGTACGTGTTACAGAAGACTGACAAAGTTTATGTTCATAGATAAACGTTTCTTAAGAAGGAAATTTCTCTGGTTTTGCTAACATTGAGTTTCATTAAAAGCGCTGAGCTTTGGGACCATCAGGGTATGAGAACCAAGGCCAGAAGCTCTACTTAGATCAAAATTAATGGCATCGGCTTGAACCTGGGAGCCAACCATAACCACAATGGTTATGGCAGATTTAGGTCTCGTTCAACCATGCTGACGAGGACCTGGTCAGGAATAACAAATTAAAATAATTTTGAAAAGTTTAAAGCACAGAAATGGGTCTGTAGTTTCTGACAGAGGCAGAGTCATCTTGTTTTAAAGACAGGAACCACTGCTTCTTTTTCCCATTCAGTAGGAAAATAACACATTTGAGCGAAAGATTTATGTTGAAGAGCTGGTTATCAGACACGTTGACATTAGACGTCTTACAAACTCACTGGCAGCGAAGGGGCGCCGAACGCAAGAGTGCGTCGTGGCTTATTTTAGGTAATATCCCGGCATTCGCCTGGAGGGACTGAGGAAAACCACAGAAACCTCAGTGTCTCCGGGCCGACCCCTTTCATGTCCTCGCTTCCCCGTCTCTTTTCCACACACTTAACGCTGTTTTACTCATGTTTCTACCCGAAAACTGCCATCGTCAGATCCACTGAACTGTACCGAAGGACATCTTCAATGCAGATTGATTTTGTCAGTAGCAGAAATTGTGGGCTTAAACTTATAAAATCCGTGATAGGATCATCCTGTCTTGAAACTGTGACAGTTCTCAACCAGAGACCACCAGATGTGTACATCTGTTGATGTAGCCATATGCAATTTCTTTCATTTTAATAATTTACACATAATTTCATAATTGGTTTATCAGACATCGCGACGAATGGACTCGAGACTCTCAGCGTCGGTTTTCTAATTTCATTTTCAACGTAATATGGAGAGTTATCTGCGTTGAATCTGGCGTCCCTTCGAGGCGTTCCCGATGTTAGGCGTCGGGGAAACCTGGCGGTGACTTTCTGGCGTCTTGTCATGGCGTCTCGAAGTCTGAATTACGATACCAAATTTCATTTCAAGGTTTAAGCTTCGACACGCGTGTAATATTTCCTCCGGTCACGTGAACAGTAACAACACATTCAATTGAACAAGCACCATGATGAGTGACGTAAGACATTACCCATGACACAGAAAAAATTCTGGTTATCGAAACGTCTGCTTTTATTCCCCGTAAGATATACGTGGTCCGCAACAAATGGGATTAATTTCGATGAGATAAAAATTCAGGTAGGGAAAATACGTACTCGGGCGTCATATTTAGCTAAACAGCTTTTTATTAAGTGCAGTGCAGTGCTGATAATAATACATACAACTGTAAAAAAAATTACTTTATTCTAAAATGTTCTAGAGTTGGGGGCATTCGTTGTCCTTGTTAGGATGCCACGTGTCAGTCCTCGACGCAGTATCTTCTGTACGAACACGTGTATCCATCTTGACACTGGTAATACAGACCTTTCGAAGGGACGTTTAGGCAATGACCGTTTGCACCTAGAAAGAAAAATTGCACCCTTTGTCTTCAATTATACACCACTATAAGCATTTAAATGACGTGACATTCACGGCGTCTGCATACGAATGCAAACTGAACGAACAGATTTTAATCCGATTTATTATTTATAATATTCAATAACATTTTTTAGTCAAAACGAATTTTTTTTTTTTTGCAATTTCTGAACTACATAAGTTAATTAATGTTATGGATGATTTGCTCTCTTTTTAAATATACATTTTGTACCAACTTCATTGGGCAAAAACCCTTCTTCTGATGATCAAGAATATCTCCATCAAAATTCCCTCCACACGTCAACTTTCCAGGCAAAAGAATTTGTATATACAGGGTGACCATAAAGTCTGGAAACATAGGCGAATATATATAATAAATATTTTATTGATATTACATTACAGTGCGTGATATGTTCAATGAGTTATCCCTGATTATAAATGCGCTGTGCAAAATTAAAATGAACGCGGTGCATTAATGGAGCATATGTTATCCTTACGAATTTAGTAACATTCTGTGAGAAGAAACTGAACAGATTTTAAGTTACGTTGCCCGGAACGAATAATATAAAACACGTATTAAGGAGACCGTGTCCGTCCGCCAACTTGTATAATGTCCAGAAGAATACACGAATTTGGATTCGGTTAAATTTGAGTTTGAGATCGACACCACAGTCTCGAGGCGAATTTGTTATTGTGGTCACATCTGGAAGAAATGTAGACGTCGATCAGAGATAAGATGTTATTATCGTCCTTGATGCCGTTTAGATACGTGGGGAGACAGTTGTTTATCCGAAACGTCGGTCTCTTAATTCTCACCGCCTTGACAACCTCACACTTCGCGTTCTTGTCTTAAACACGACGTGTGTGAACTGAATGGCCCTTGGTTTCTGTTTTGGAGAGAGTTTCCAGGGTGCAAGGGACTTACCGACTATGGTAATACAAGCGTTGCAGCACGCACATAATGACCCGTTCACCTTGAAGATCTGGTCAGCGGCGCAGTCGTCCGCCGTTTTGGGACCCGGGCAAAGGACTTGCCTCGGGTCTGAGCACACGTAGTCACAATAATCTTGGGTTACTTCGGTCGTAGCTCCTGCCAGGCACGCAGTTAACAGAAACAGTAATTTGACCTGAAAGATATAACAGCAGATTTGGATTAATTTCGGAATCTTCTATCGTGGACTCCTGCAAAATATCTAAACGTCGATCAGTTGTGTTATCCCAGAATTTTTCTGTGTAAACGGAGAAATACAACGAAGATCCCCAGTCATAATGTCGGGTGGTCCTGCCTGTATTTTAATTGAATATCTGCAGAATTCGAGTAGAATGGAGTGAATGTGTATATCGCATGGCTGATACGTGATTTACTTCCAGTGAGCTGCTTAATTTACACAGGACTTGTGTCTGTTAAAAACAGAGTAGTATTGTCTGCTTTTATTTTATTTATTTAGTTTTCTGTCTGAGGACAGGTCCATATGACCAGGATCCTTCCATCCTTTTCTCGGACTGGGACCTGTTCATATATGTTCTTGGCAGATGATCCAGAAGTGGTTTGCCATTGCCTTCTTCTGTGTGTGATTGGAGTAATTGTTGGGATGCCACGGAGGAAAACTCCGTGTTGCCTAGACCACGGCCTTGCCCAACACAAGTTATAAATTCGAACCCGAGACCCCAGGATTACAAGGCTAGTGTTCTGACCGCTAGACCACCGTGGCTTAGGTTTAATATAGACTGCGGAAATCTTGAAGTAACGTAGTAGTAACTACAATATCGCCTGTTGATGAGGTCCTCCGCCATGAGATCGAAGTTTTAGAGCTGTCCTCTTTAGTTCGTCAAACCTGAACTTGTCTTTAAGATGCTGACAAAAATTTAAAATATTTTAAATTTCATATTTTCGGAGCGCATAGGCCTACCTGCTCAAATTAGTTTCTTAGTCTCGAGTGCTATTGAGAACTGATCTGTCGTCGCACAAGTGTGCAGCAGCTCACGAAACGCCACTGTCTTATCCGCGATAATGCCGACATTTATTACAATTCTGGAGATCTTCAGAGAACAACGCAAAGAATTGTCAGCGGGCAGTACTTACCGCCATCTTGTTGTGTCCGCTACCTTTGACTGCGCTATTCGGACCTCCTTCAAAGACACAAGCAAGAAACAAAGAAACACAACCTAATATACGCAACTGTAAGTCGTGGACTTGTCTGTGGGTTTTTCCAATTGAACAATTTACACAGTCGCTATCTTTTCAAATTTCACCAATTTTCCTTTAAGGAAACAGCTGATTTGAAGCAAGGTGCAGATAACGTTTTAAGTTCAACCTTGGTTCGTCATGTATTCCAGAGATATGAATTCTTAACTTAAAAATATCCGGTAACAAGTTGTAAGGTTTCTCTGTCCCAAATTCTTTCTGTTGGAACAGTTGAGTACATTAACAATTAATAATTATGCCCGCGATGTTTAATGTTTTTTGTGTTTGTAAAAATTTATATTTGTGTTTAAATTATAACCTCAAATATTATGTCACCGTGTTTACAAATTTTTAAAATATATCCAAAAATTCGGTCGAAACAATTTCAGTTTTGAAGACTTACAGATATTTCCTTTTGTTAATGTACGTTTTATTATAATGTATGTATGCTTTGTCTGTTTACGTAAACATTTGTCTGGTGAATTTCCTAGTCAGAATGGGCTGAAATGGAGATGCTTTATTGTCATTTCTTTTTAATTTTGATTTAGAATATGCTATTAGAAATCCCCAAGAAAATAATAAAGGATTGGAATTGAGTGAGTAAATTCAAATTTTCGTCTCCATTGATGATGGGGATTTATTCGACAAAATTACAAAATGGACCTACTGTAAAGAGAAACTCAGAAAATGTTAGATACTAATAGGCGTTTGTTATAGAAATAAGCAGTGGAAAATCTAAGTAGATCCTGTGTTATCATTCCTTGTCACAGAATGCAGGATAAAGTTATAGTATTAGTTATAAATTAAGATGATAGATAAATACTTCGAACGCGTGGGAAAAATGTCTAATATTTGGGAAAATAAGATCATATTTCCCTAATAATTTAAGAGCAGATTGAATTTGGAGGATGATCGCTGTAATTCAGTTCAGAATATTTCGCTTTCCGTTTTGTTTACTAAAAAACGTGAAATTGAAATGAAACCTAAAATCTATAATTTAACATGTTGTGTTTTTACGAGCGAATGATTGGCCCATCGCACGAATGGAAGAACTCAGAAAAATACCTTTGTTTTAATTTACCACAGTTTTGCATTTCTATCCATTGGTATCAACCGCGGATTTTCGTTTTATGTACTCGCGAATTTTAATTGTGCGCAAGTAAGATGTCTGTGGCTTTAAGATCAATAAATAAGTACTTTCTAGGGGTTGGTACTACAAAATTCTGTCTTCTGGGTTGTTTATCGAAATTTCAGAGGGACTTGTTTGCTTGCTGCCTCCATCAGCAAGCTGATGAATACTCACTGGAATAGGTACATCTGAAACGTCGGTTAGCGTCTACAAGGCTACATGGCGCAACAACCCTTAAGACAGCCATCTTCGTAAGGAACGACATGTGAGGTTAGGTTAGGTTTTGTTGTGTTAGGTTAGGTTAGGTTAGGTTAGGTTAGGTACGGTTAGGTTAGGTTAGGTTAGGTACGGTTAGATTAGGTTAGGTTAGGTACGGTTAGGTAAGGTTAGGTTAGGTTAGGTTAGGTTAGGTTAGGTTATGTTAGGTTATGTTAGGTTATGTTAGGTTATGTTATGTTATGTTATGTTAGGTTAGGTTATGTTAGGTTAGGTTCTACAGAATGTGAAAGTCGAAGAGTGGGCTCTTGTGAACGCGATAATGAACCTTAAGGTCTCTTAAATGTGAGGAATTTTTACTGTCTAACCATTGATTTTTCTTTTGTACAACTTCGCAATATGTTGTCAATGAGAAATTTCTGAATGTGTTTCATGGACTGTCAGATCTGAATGATCATCAATTTAAAAAAATTAAGTTTAAATAAACGCGGTACTTGACAAATTGACAACAGATTGCCCAACGAATATCCCACTGTGTTATACAAATATATGAACACAAAAGACGACTTTATTAACTAACACTGGAAATGTTCAGTCTGAGGCATTCCATATACGAAGTAAATCATTTGAACAGCTAAAGTGGCATCAGTAAAGTTCTTTTTAATATCATATGAAATACCAAGTGAAAATGTAGGTTGATTTGATGTGCTTGCCAGGAAATATTATTGGGTGTAGCATAAATGTGTTCATTTATTACTATTTAAATATATCATTTGAAGCTTTCGCGGCGACGCACCTTAATAAAATTTTCTCGGGTGACCACCCGCATCAGACCCCCGATGATGGGGACAGAGATGGTCTCTGAAACGTCGGTTTCATCGCTTAACCATGCGACGCGCCTGGTCAAACGAGAAAATTTTATGGTGTACTATTTAAATATCGAAACAGGAGGATTAAAATATATTTGTAATACCAACATCTTCCTTTCCTGGAATTTGCTTGTTCATATTTGGGTCTGTGAACGTATATAATGTAGAGGAGCCCACAGGAAGAAGGAAAAAGTTGTGGTTTATGAAAATGTTCTGTGTGGGATTTTCATCATAAGAACGAACAACACATATATTCTCAATAACAATTAATTATAATATATTTTACGTTAAACATCATAATTAGAATCCTGTAAATATAACTTCTTATTAAAACGCAATATTTTATCCTCCGTTACCAATAATTCACTTAACAAATGAAACTACCATATGAATGTTAAAAGTTCTTAATTTTTCATCAGGCCGCTGTGTAATTAACTTCGTAATTAAACAAATTTATGATGCAACTAAAATGAGTAATAATTGGCCCCAACTTTTATTTACATTCCTACAGAAGTAAATTCGTGACTAATATCATTGGAACATATTACTGCAGATGTTATTATAAAAATGAATGTTACTGGGTCTACGGACAATTTTCTCGTATGGTGTCCAGATAACACATTTGTGTTTTCTTTGAGGTAGGGACTGAATTTTAAAATACTACTTAGATTAGCTTCAGGCTTCATGTTTTAGGATTTTATACGTCATCACACTTTCTTCACTCTCGGTGTACTCTTATGAGAACGACGAGCGTCCATTTCCTGGAAACATTCCAAGAAAATGGCTCCTTTCCCTCCAGAAATAAACCTAACCTCACTTCATCCATATAATTTCTTTCTGTCTCCTTATAGAGTCCTTTGCTCAATGTGGAAGCTTCTAAGACTTAAAGTCGCATTCATATTCCCGGAACGAAACCAGTCAGGGCGGGAGGAAGGAAAATGCAGGAAAATTGTATTGAAAACGAAGATAGAATTTAGTTTTTTGGAATGTGTTTAAAAGCGTATGAAACTGGTTATATAAGATTAAGGCAGGACCCAGACACAGTCGGCTTACGTTTGTATAAATTAAGATTTATTTGAGACACACATTTGAATAGCGAGATAAGTAGTTCAGTAATATCATCATTTATTTAAAACAAATTAGCGTGTGGACAGAATGACACACGCCTACATTTTATTGGACGTATGTTATTGAAATTTTGGTGGTGGGGAAAATATGAAACAGTAGCCATAACAGGAATGAATTCCTCGTGAGTTAAGATGTCAACGATGATCAATCTTTGAGACATATTATCAGCAGTTGCAAGTGACCAGAGTGAACTTTAAACTATGTTTAAAATATGATATAATTAGGATTAGAAAACTTATACAAGTCATAATAACTAAATCTGTGCAAAAAGACTTCAAACAGAGAGGTCCATAGTAGTGAAGTTATAGCTTATATAATTCGTCATGTCAAATCGTGTTGATTCCCACTTGTGAACTTACGGAGCTTCACAAATATTAGTTTTATTGTTGCAGACAGAGTTTCGACAACGAACATAAAACCCGTCATCTCGGGTCGCTTGACAGTTACCGCCGATATCTGAAACAAAAAATTATTATCCTCATTACAATTCCAAACGTTCACTTCAGTGCATTGCGCTATTCTTTTGTCAATAACTCGATATCTTTTGCTCAAAGGCTGATTAGTATGAGTCGATTATGTATCGAGGATTGTAAAGAATCGATTGTAGACTATTTGAAGGCTCTAAGTGCTTTTATCGTAAAAATACGTGCAGTAAAGAACTCAAATACGTCGGTCGACAGGTTCTCAACATATAACAGCATAAAAATTTATTTTCCTTAATTATTTTCAGAATCACAAGACTAACTGAAAAGTATATTTCATGGTTTCTCTTCAGTTTTTGTTCCAGAATTTATTTTTCTCCGGCATTTAGCTCGTTACAGTTGGTACTAGCCCCGAAACAAATGAAGGTCTTTACCCAAAGTCCCGTGATTGTTGTCCGATTCTAACCAAACTTTCAATAAGACGACAGACTTTAGAAATATTCTTCAACATCCGTTTGCTTGAGAAATCCATTCACCGGTTCTCGGGTTATCATAACATGGAATAATAATAGACTAATTGTTCACCTTCGATGCGAACTTGTTTTAAAACGTTTTATTCGTTGCTGCCGGAAACAACTGAGTCTCAATTTGCGTCTGCCCTTACCAACGTATATAATGCAGCCGGGACAACATCCACACCAACCACCGTTGGGTTCGTAGACGCTCCCCGGATGTTTCAAGCAGTATTCCCGGGATTTGACGTGGCACGTCGGATTCACACAGCGCTCAGCACACCACTTGCTCGGCGTGGAGTCGCTCGATGTATACGAAACCGCCACCAGAAGTACTAGCATCAGAGCCATCTGGAAAAGAAAAGAAAACTACAGATTTGCAACTCCAGAGCCAGATGTCATAGGTAAATCTTTACACCAATGATTTTATATAGATCTTCGTGAATTTTTACATTACAGTATACCATGTTTTAATGAGATAAATGATTTTTGGCGTTGTGTAAGCTCGTAGGTACATGTTGAGCGTTTCGGAAAAAAATACCGTATTAATATTTAGGGTTCTCTGATGATAGAGGGAGCAAGCACCTCCGAAACGTCGGTAAATTTCTACCAGACTACACTGTGAAGACAGCCAAGATCAAAGCCATCTGAACTCGGTAGTCTCAACCGTGGACACTAATTTCATGCGTATTTTGTATAATATATATAATATATTTAATAATAATATTATTATATTATAATATATTTGGTTTAGAACTATATACAGAGATCTGTGGCCGCCTAACACCAGGTTTTCACGGCCACAGTCCTTAGACGCGTAATATTCATAACCTATACCTTGAATCCTTCCATCGTGGTTTTTATTCGAGTGTTTGCTTTGCAGTTGAACAAAAGCCTTGTCTTTTTTGAAATACGTCGTCTGTATACGAAGTGTTCTTTTATATACAGAGTTTTCCCCTTATTTAAAGAAGGCTGTTGGGAAATCCCTAAGCATTTTCCTCAATACGAGTCATCGAAGTAAAGTTATCAAAACAGTAAATTTAAAACTGCGATGGGAAATTGGCTTTTGACAGAACAAAGCGTTTGAAAACATTAGGGAAATTCCGCTACGCGCTGCTAGACGTTTATGATTGGTCGCTTTCGGATTATGTGCCGTTATCGACTGAACACGAGGATGGTTGACTAAGGCTCGTTACTTAGCCACGAACGCGATATGGCGGGCCGCCTGCTGGTATTCGTTGTAGGCAGTTCTGAGCTCATAAACATTTTATTCTTGGAAAACGACGGGGTACAGCGAAAAAAGAAAGGAGTATTGCCCCCCCCTCCGCCGGGGGGCACTGCTCCGTATTTTTGCGTTATTGCACATAAAATTTATATTGTAATAATTCTAACAATTATTTATTTTAATCCGTCTTATCACAATAGTAGAAGATTGAAAGAAACACTAAAGAATTTGAAAGAATTTATAAAAGAATTTAGAGAATAAAATGCAAAATATATAAATTATAGTTAGAAAGTAGCAGTAAGATATAAATAAAAATAATATAAAATAAAAGTAAATCTAAAATAAAACATACCCTAGATGTAGGAGTGATTGTTCCAAAATGTAAATCGATCAATCGATATGGAACATCAATGATATTTTATTATCTTAATTATAAGAAATTTTAAATATTGTGATAAGACGGATTAAAATAAATAATTGTTAGAATTTTCACAATATGACGCAATTACACTATCTTATTGTAATAATTAATTAATTGAGGCATTGAACAATTAATGTTATAAGCTACCTCGGATTTCATAACTTTCTGTTTATTCAGTGAAACGGAGTTTTTGACAAGCTAACATTCATTTAACTAATCAGCGAACTTCACCGCCTTTTACGGAACAATTAAGTTCATATAACCTCGTTAAAAACTTAGCTATTGGACGCTACCCTGAGCCGCGTAATTCCAGTTTGCATCTTCACGTCTCATTGCCTTGCAATTCATTCTATTTCTTACATTCCAACTTATTCCAGAGAGACCTCTCACCTTTTCCCATTCAGGTTTTTCGACTGAAATCTTACCACGTGAGATTTTGAGGTCTCGCGGCGGGAAACATTGAAGAAGCAAGTCTTCCGAGACGTTGCACCTTGTATTCAGGGCCCTGATGAAGGAGGCAGTAAGCGCTTCTGAAACGTCGATCTACTCTTACCAGACTACACCTCGCAATATCTCAGAAGGCTCCCATTTTCAAAATTGTAATAGTTTTTCCCAATTTACCTGTACATTTTTGAATTTCCCGTCTATACACATATCTATTTTACGAGGCGTGGAATTCTCATCATCCTCCTACATTCTTTCTCTTGAGTTCAGATATTCTCAGTGCCCTGTTCTCAGACACTCTTTAGTTTTTACCTTAGAATGAGAGGCCACGTTTCAGTCTCACGGAGAATGAGATAAATATATATTTTTAATGCGTCCGGAAAACACATCAAAATCTTTGTTATTAAGATTAACGTGATGTCTGGACTTTAAACAATTACCAGGTTGCAAATCATTCGGTATTGTGAAACCATATTTAAAATAATTTTTACATAACTGCGTTTGTTTAAAAATTAAAATGCCTTTATACAATGAATGCATCGAAATTCCTACTTTGTTACGCTAAACAATTTATTAGTTGTTAAAAGTAATTAAATATTGTCTATCCTGTCATTTGTCGTCATTGCTAATTTTTGCAAGCAAGGTTCGATCAGAGATTTCGTCTAACGATTTGATTTAAGATTTTTATGAGTGGGCCCTGCGTTAAGCTTTCATCACAGTTGCATTTATGAACCACAGAATCTGCGGTCCATGGTTGTGAGGAAATCGTGACCTTAGTCCAAAGTCGCCGACTTTTAACTTCACAGGCCTGAGTTCAGTCTCAGGGATGTGCGGTGGATAAATTATCAGGACTGTTTCTGCCCAGTACTTTCTTAATCCCAGTTTTAATTAAATTGAGGCTTCTTAATGATTTCATCATCACCTTTCCAAACAGGAGAAGGTCCTACAGGATTAAGAGATCCTGAAAGGACTTCAGGATCTCCTATCCTTATCAAAAATACTTTTATTTTACGACAGTTTCAGCTTAATCCTCAGTGACTCATAATACACCTCAGAGAGTTATATTATCTGTGTTATTGATGTTTTAATTTATATTTATTGGTGTAATGGATCTCATAAAAATGTTGAGCCAACTTATTTCCTATCTCAGATGAAGTGTGGAACGGTTTAATGACGATGGTTAACACAGCATATCTGATCTTATTCCGATAAATCGATTGTTGTGTTAGAGTAACAATAATCATCCTTCAGCTGTCTGAAACAATCGATTTTGTAGAAGATATAGGATGGTGGGACACATTTTGAGGCACCCGGGATAGTTCGTATTTCTTGAACCCACGCGTAAAATGTGTATCATTTTTGACTCATGGGCAAATAAAAGTAATTCAATCTGCATCAGTCCCACTTTATTTCAACAAATTTGTGTAAATTAGAAAATGGCGGCATATTTGTTTTTCAGTTCGCGTTGCTAAGCTCCGAACGTCGTGGTTTTCTCGACACAGATTCCCTCCGTAGAACAGCAGAGACCTCTCGCACAGCCCGCAACGTGGGAGTCGAGGATCCTCGTGGAACAAGGGCCTCCCTTTTCTGAAATAAAATAAGTTCAACTCAGTCCAGACAATGAAATTATTACAGACAATTTCTGAATGTGTCTCAACTGTTGGCCTTTTTAGAAAATATACAAAAGAAGTCATTATTATTAATCGTTCACATTGCAATGGGACAAATTTATTGAACAGGAAGGTAACCAATCACGTCGTTTAAATGCTCTTAAATGTATCTGGGATTTGAGGTTAAAATATCGATTATGGCTCTCTGGGTTGTGACGTCACACATCTTGCAAGAAATAACAAGGCTACTGAATGCAGTGCACATTACAGATATTATGTTCGCAAAATATCCATTTAAAATTAATTTCAAAAATTTCGGAACGATGTTTCCAAAATTGCCACAAGCTACAGGATTTTTTACGTATGTTACAAGGTTCAGCCTCGAAGCAAACTGATGGCAGAATTCGTACCAACAGATCTGATGACGCATGCACCACAGCACTCGCACACCAGCCCTGGATAAAGGTATTCCTCTGCGCCTGCGCCAACGCAGTCTTCCTGTGAGCTGATTGCGCATGCGTCCAGACACGCCAGCTTACCGCACGGGCGTGACAGACATTGTTGTGCTCCGCTGTGCAACACGGCGTTCACCAGCAACAATAAGACGGCCTTCAACAATAGAAGCACTTGAAATTGTGGATGTTCATTCTCATTGCTGAATTCAGGCGATAATTCCAGCGCCGATGACCGATGTTTCCCGCCAATATTCAAACCACAATGATTTTTCCCAGTCACGAAGCGAGGTTCATGATCTGATTGATCTTAAAATCAGATCTGAACCAGATTCGTTCAAAATGACGAAGTTATGTCAGCGTCAGAGTTTGTACGAGTCAACATCGAACAACGAGTATGATTGTTGAGTCGGCAAGGATTTGGAAGGAGGTAATCGCAGGCTGCTTTCCCGGCTTTTATTTCACAGCCAACATAAATTAAATTGCTTCCAAGTCTCACTGATGAATTATCTCAGGCTTAACTCAAAGAGTTATATTATACAGTGTGTTTCTAAATAATAAAATAATTTTAGTAAATTATAGGGGGCTTCAGGACGTCAATGTGAGTAAAGAATATTCTTTACAAATGTGCATAAGTCCGTTACCGTTTCTGTAAAACGTTATAGAGCATAGAAATTCAAAACACGTCATGTTACAAGGACGTTTCAGTCACCACGATACAGGAAGTTGTTCAACGTGTGGGCCGGGACCATGGGTCATCTTCTCAATGGTCCGTGAATCTTATCACCGGAACTTGCTGGTACCCTGAACCTACGAATTTTCCATAGATTTTTATTTTGAATTTTGTGATGACGATTAGATTGTTTTCTCGATGATTTCAGTCTGACTGCAGGGGAGAGGAAGTTGGATCGGCCGTGGTCCCGAGGCTTCTATGCTTGTTGGCCTCCACGGTCGCCTTACTTCAATCCGATTCAATTTTACTTGTGGAGTTCAGTGAAAAATTAGGTTTACACAACACGCGGAGTCTTCAAATTCATCCGAGAATCGCTCCACATTATTCAGAAGCCTTTATTTATATACTGTACGTTGTACTACGACTCATAACGTAGGGAAGTGTGAATTAATGAAGTGTTAGATAATATAAATTACGTCATCAACTGGACGGAAAATCAAAATGATTGTGATCCTATCAACTTATTGCATCTGCAAATTATCAGAACTTATGCAATAAAAAAATCTCAAAATTCTAACCAAAAAACGATATCAGACTATTTTAAGAAACAAAATGAGAAAGATTTGTTCAAAACGTTTTTGGTATTTTCTTTTAGTGTTGGTGTATAATTTTAGTAGCGTAAAAAGTATTCAAAGTGTATAATTATCTTACAAAATATGTGTTATTTTACTGTATAAGAGTGCAGTGTAAAGCAAGTGACCTAATGAAAAATATTTTACGTAAGTACAATACAGTTTATCATAATTATTTTTTTACGGACGCTTATAACAAAAATATTGCTAAATTTACACCTAAATTTTGATATATAAAAAGTCTGTAATAGTATATAAATAGCGTGTACATTGTGTTTGTTTGTAAATAAAAATACAATACAGTAGTATAATATATTTTGATACGGTATTTAAAATGAAAGCCGAATTAATTATTTATTACTTTTCCGTAAAAATCAATCGTCACATAGTTTAATAAGTATGTGTACTCTTAAATGGCGATTGTCTATCAATACTGCACGTGCCGTACGTTCAGTACTTGTACAGATTTTTCCGACGCATTCCCGTAATAACGCGGGTTTACCCCTGTCCTCCGCGACCCGCGTTATAGCGAGGTTGTGTTGTATGTGAATCAAATAATTTCTAAGATACTGAAACATTACATAATTTAACTTCATGCAGACCTTTCGACTCATACTGACGTACTCAAGCTCCGCTATCAATTATGGCACATAATTTAGAAACACCCTGTATAAGGCATTATCATGCAAACGAAGGAAAAGTACGTAACCACATTGCAATGGTCTTGTCCTTGTACTCCCTCGTCACATATGTTTGTCGGCTCCCAGCCGACAAACATATTCACAGTGCATAAGCAGGTCCATTGAGCGAATTGTTATTCAGAAACTGATTCACATGTAACCCGAAGGTACATTAATGTGTTTGGAACATCCGCCACTGGGCCTTATTCTGAGCTACTTGAATCGACTTCACACACACACGAGAACCATATTTGTATAGAATCCATTTTAGTATTATCCTCCCATAAAAGAGTAAGCCACCCGAGTACTCTCTTCGCTTCATTTTTCCATTAAATTCTGTGTGCAGTTTTTGTTTCTCCCACCTCAATCTCCTCGGTTTGATCGTGTTAATAATTAGAATAATAATTTCTGAAGCGTGCTCTACAGCAGTGGTATTCAACCTTTTTTGTTCGCGTACCCCCAGATATAATTTCTCTCCAACTTTGTACCCCCCAAAGTTGTTGGTGTATAATTCAAGTTATACATAGTATATAATCTACATCTAAAATAAATTAAATAAATTACATTACTGATTATTCAGTGTTATCATAAAATAATATTTTTTTTTAAATTTCACGTACCCCCTAAGATGTCTTTGCGTCCCCCCGGGGGTACGCGTACCCCAGGTTGACTACCACTGCTCTACAGATTCTTGTTAAACAAATAAACAAAATTTGTTATAAAGCTCGCTGGTCGGAGTTAAAATCGTGAAAATATGAAGTATTCAGTTGACGTAATAATAGTTAGATATTTATTCCGGTAAATGTGTGATTTGTAGAACCAAGCGAGCTAACCTAGCATTTGCTTTAAAATAAGATAGACAATAATGAACAGTTCTCCTCCTAGGACATTTCGAACTGAAATGCATTTCTCCATTTTAACAATGGCTCACCATGTAACGTGATAAAGTCAGATGTTCTTTTGTCAGTTTTAGTTTCGGAAGTTGCCTTAAGAGAGCAGACATTGCGCATGCGTGTTGAGATTGACACAGCTGTTGAGTTTTGTGAGAGTGCAGGTGTGCAGCCTCGAGTGAGGGCTATTCAGTCTGTCTGAAATGGTTTAATAAAGGAGATGATAGTGCGAGAGAAGTTTTCAACACATTGATTTGTATTCTATATTAAAAAATATATTTTTTAGTCTGCGATGATAGTGCGAGAGAAGTTTTCAACATATGATTTATATTCTGTATTAAAAAATATATTTTTTAGTCTGAATATCGGAAGGAGTCTGAAACAAACGATAGAACTGGACGGACGTTTCGACTTCAGATGTGATCTGTCTTCGATAAACAGCCCGATAAGCGACCCTTGAGACCGGTTAGAGGAGGTGGATCGGTTGAACTGGCCAGTGTCTTTAATATTTTTATTTTTATTGTAGAGACTTATAGAGAATTCAGTGTTAATGGGAACTGCCATTTTAATACTTGACTCTCCTCTGAGTAAAGGTAATCCAGTTTTTAATTACATAGAAGAATCAACAGTAGCCATAACCTCGTCCTCGTCACACCCTGACCTTCTTAAAATAAAAATTGTTAATCTAGTTTTCAGTCCTCTGCCACAATGTAAAACAGATGTTACAGCTTTTCAAGGCAAGACAACAGTATTAGGAATAATTTCTGGATGTTAAAAGAACAATATGAACATTAGCTTATGCTTGGAAAACATACACATCATCAATTTTGCAGTATTATATACAATTTATTGTTCTGTAAGGTACTCAACTCCACGTGGAAATGGTCGGGAAACTTGATGAACGCCATCTTACCTTTGGAAAATCCATGGTGGAGAGGTTCCTTCTTTCCCCTAATAATGTGTTACGAGTATGCAGTCGTTTCTCTTCTCACGCCGTACGAGTTGTGAAGGTCGTGACCATTATTACGTTTCAGGGAATTCTGAAGGCCGATTAGTTTGCCCCCCTTCGGCTGGCAATGAACTCGCCCGCTGACTTCTCTGCCGCACAAAACAACTTTGTTCATTGTCGTGTTTACCACAGCTTTGGGGGGCCTCACATTACGTGGGATACATTACTAACCTACACGAAAAAAATATTTGTTCGTAACTTGTAAAGTTCACTAATTAATTATTTCGTTTCGAAACAACTTTAAAATTATTGCGGACTGTTTTTCAGATACGTAACTCGTGAAATAAATAATTCACTTCCGGGAAGCAGTGCGGACAGCTGTTAAACGGGCGTTTTGCAGGTGGGCCAACGTACACAAAATTGCACTAGGTTTGCTATTGATGTTAAAGGACGTGTTACCCGTTTGTGTGCAGTTGTTCAACTCTTTCGTGTAGATTTATGTTGACTGCACAGCGGGCCAGCCACGCATCCATCTTGTAGACGAATATTTGGAGTGATGAATTTGATATTTGAAGATTGATTAAACAAAAATAAAATAAAATGTCTCACTAATGACTGATTTTGTAAAAAAAAAAATTGTTGGGTATTTTGGGAAACAGTTTGCAGTGGTCAGCCTAATCCGGTAGCATTTGTAGTCGGTTTTCATTAAGTTGTAATAAATTGTCCACATTTATGACATCCTTGTCAACAACGGAGTGAAAATATGTCCCACGAGTCGGACTCCAAAGCCGTTCATATTCTCTGGGCTCTGTAATTAATGCACTGTTGTTAAATAAAATACGAGTAAGTAATTTTTAAAGCGGTGGACAACCTGTTGACATTGAAGTTGTGTTTTAGAGAGAAAAAGTAAATATTCTCGTGTGTTTATCTTCACATTTTTGTTTGAAGGTCACGTGAAGAGCTTGTTCCCTGCCTACCTTTATAATTCACAGAGCATTAAAGGAAAACAGGTTTTCTCAAGGAAACACGCCCTTCCCTGACTCGCGCTGCGCTGGTCATTATTGTCAGAGCGTCTAAACATGATTGGTTCGCGTTCTTCACCACGATGTACATAACCGGAACAAGTTAAGGGGAAAACCACGTCTGTCGGTCTGTACGTTTCAGTTCGAGAAACGCTAGACGAAATTTTGTAGGCATAATTAATAACTCCATACACGCCAACAACAACATGTGACATAACCGCAATATTGCGTCGAGAATGGAATGGAGTTCCTGTTCAAGTAATTTCTTGCGCAATGTTAAACAAGAACATGGCGGCTGCATAAAAACTAACCAGATGGCTTACTGAACCCGAAGGTTCATCACCGAATTAACCAAAGCCCTCCACCGGACTCTGTCCTGGGCCAACAAAATCCAGTCTCCTTCAACTCCTATCTCCCATAGATCCCGCCTGAGATTATCCTCCCATCTACGTCTAGGTCTCCCCAGAGGTCTCTTCCCCTCAGGCTTCCCAAATAGTGGACCCAACCAACCAGATGGCTTACCGAACCCGAAGGTTCATCACCGAATTAACCAAAGCCCTCCACCGGTCCCTGTCCTGGGCCAACGAAATCCAGTCTCCTTCAACTCCTATCTCCCATAGATCCCGCCTGAGTAATTGTCTATTGAACTGTAATTCTTCCAAAACTCTAATTAGTTTTTCTTCAAATTTTACCACAAAAATAGGTTACAGTTACACTTTGTGTGTTTTTTTTTACATAAAACGTGTGCAGTGACGACGGGCAGACACGACATCCTCATTGTGCGTTCCTTTTATGTACGTTGTGCAAATAATGCATTCGTGTATTTTGAATTACGACCCAGAAGGAGGCGGCCATCTTCAAAGCAAACAAAATTGGTTAAGTTTAACTCCGACTGTATTAGAAATTCTCTGTAGGCCGGTGAATTTTGAAAATATTGTAAAACTATCGGATTTTTTCTCGTGGGTTTAGACACCGCGTTGTAGTGGAAAATCTTTCCTATCCCCGGTGTTAAAGTGATTAGAACAAACACCTGGTATTTCTTTAAATAACATAAATCAGTTAATCCTTGTAATGATGAAGACTTGTATTTTCTTTGAGGAAGAACCTGAATTCTTAAATACGAATATGGAACTTGTTACAGAATTTTGAAGTTTATTTACGACTGTGTTCGTGTTAATAGCGAAAATTTAGATAGGCCTGTTTTTGCTGATACATGTTGTGGGAATTATTACTCAAATGTTAAACATTATCCGTGTTTATGATTCTTAAATTACTTCCATACACATTACATTAAAATTACTTTCATATACATTAGCATATTTAAATGTGCCGTCTATTATAATACGTACAAAAAACCAAAATTTTGCGATAATCCTGACTTATTTCGTCATGTCCCCTAGTCCTGTTATGCACGGAGTTAGCAATGAACGCAGTCGTAATTTCATTTGTTTTTTCAACTAAGACAACTGGGAGAAGATGGCGCTTGGAATATTAACATGGCGGCGAGAGAATCTAAATGTTTTTGTAAGTACAAATAGTAATTGAAAACGCGTTACACTATAATGTGAGTTCATAATATTAACAGATGCTGTACATTTGTTGTATTAATCTAATATTATTATTAGAGCAGTGACGTAAACATAACCCCGTTTAGCATTTGCTCCTGTAGTGCGGTTAAGGCAGGAGGTAACCTCATTACGTCGAGATAGGTCGCGGGGGTTGGACATGATGTAATGTGTTTATAAATCACTGTGACGTTCTGTTTTTGGAAGAGAAGATGCAGGTTGTTTAAGCTCTTATAACTGTGCGTGTGTGTGTGTAAAGATAAAATATTTTGTGTGTTGAGGCTGTGACATAATGTTATAGTGACGATCGCCATTACTGAGCAAAAACTCTCGCTGCATCTCAACGCATCTCGTGATAGACGCTGGGGGCGTCGGTGAGTAAGATGTTTATCACTCAGTTCAAAATGTATTTTGGGGACAATGTGAATTGTAATGGTCCTCGCAGTGGAAAGTTGAGCTGAATTTTATTGTATTTCCTGAAACCGAATTATTAAGTTGTACATGTCGGAACGTGTAGCTAGGGAAGACGACCCCACTCGTCAGTTTTAGGAAGTAAAATGGGGCAGCGATGCCAGGCCTCTGTGTTCGAGTTTTATTTAATTGTTACTTTCAAATGTCTTTCATACTTTAACTAATTCCGAGCTAAAGATTAAAACATATTTTTAATCGTCTGTTTTCCCACAACCACGCACAGACGTGGAGTTCTTTTGAACACGTTTAAGCTCGCGTTGCCGGGTAATTTACCCCGCCCACGTGATGGCCTTCAAAAACATTGTCCTCTGTTGAATGTCTTCGTCGTCGTACCAGAATCCTTGACAGGACAAGACCTGATATTTTGAGAAAGTGTTTTCGTAACTCTACGATTTGAATATCGAAAACTGGGTGTTTTAATTGTCACGTTAATTGGAGTAATTAATGAGTTAGTCAAATTGGCCACCTGTAGCTTCGTGGCACATTTGGCAGCAGCTGACTGACTCAGGCGAGCCCACCGGAGTCGTTGCTGTGTGTCCAACGTTTTTGGGACACCCTGTATGTGACGATGTGAATTATGTTCTGTTTTGCTGGAACAGAATGCGACTGTTTGTCTTTATTTTGTGGTCATCAGTCTTTGCTTGTGATATTTAATGTTCTCACACCGAAGAGTACAATGACTGTAGTTTCAGAAGAGTTTACCGCCTCCGTCATCAGGGCGATTTTTTAATATTCTGTTTTCTTAGACCAAATTTTAATATGGGTACGGATATAATTTCGGGACCGAGAGGGTGAACAGGGAGTTTCTAGAATTGTTGAGTTGTCGTGGTGTGGATTAGTAAGGTTAACCACTCTGTGCATGAGAGAACTCGAAATTATTAAATCGATTTAATTACATTTCATTGATACTGGAGAGTTTAAAGGATTCTGTCAAAACAATTTCAATTTGTATTTACGTAAGAACACGAATACATTTTCAAAACAATTTCGAATAAAGTTTCTCAAAAAGGGTTTATTTCCGTGACTAGGATAAATATAACAAATAAGTTTATCATCTCCTCAAACGTTCGCTATAGAATTAATTGAAAGTTATCATCAGGATCAAAAGTGACGTCATGATTATCAACTTTATTTTATTTTAAATTCAATCTGGGTGCAACAGAATATCGAGTGTGATGTCCATCGGAACTGACGGAAAACGAACAAATTTCGTAGGAGATGCACTGTCTCATGGCAATGTCACTGGGGGTTCTGAAACAGAGGAGTACATATAATGTTAAAATTCTAGAATAATAACATATTTTTCACTTATTATAATAGTTTAATTCGTTTTTGAAATACCGAATATCTGTCCGCCCTGAATGTCATATGGATCTCTCATATAATGTTTGTCATCACCTTAAATGTTATGTTCGGATTAAAAGGTGTTGAGTCCCTGATTATGTAATTTTCTGTTATTATATTTCCGTGTTTTTCGTGTTTTCGCTTCAGAGTGACATCTATTTTGAGAAACATGTAAACCAACAGAAGACGCGAAGGTTTGTAAAATAATTTCGGTGTATTAGCCGACGTTTCAGACACATTATGTCCCTAAACGTCGGCGATTTTAACAATCTCACGTGGTTTACAAACCGAGAAGATGTTATTGATTACACTTTAAAGTCTACAGCGAGCCAAAAGAAATGGATGATGGTGTGATAGACGGTTAAATAATGTTCGATTTGGTGTGGAATGGCCTGTCTGTTAACTCCTAGGTATTTTGCCGTTCACTAACCGAAGGTAACGTTGATACACCGAGGACAGCAGTTGTATTGTGCAGGCAGAAATATCTGACCTTCCAAGCAGTCGGGGAGGACGAGATCGAGGCATGGGTGTGGGAGACACGGAATTATACAATGAGGCAAGATTGCAGAGGTGTACGCGTACACCAGGAACATTGTAACCACCTGAAACAGAAAGAATTTCTCATTATTTTACAACACTTTCACGTGTCATTTAATTATACTTAATTTCGTAATGGATGCTGATATCACGTGAGTGCGAGAGCCATCTATTAAGCGCATACCGAACTAGATTCCTCTCGTAAACACAACACATGGAGGTAGATAGATAACAAGTGTAGTATTCCGTATTACAACGCTTTTTTTTTGACATTCTGTACGTCGACGTTTCCATAGCAGCCCGTCGGTTTTTTAAACGTGATCCACATAATTTTCACATTTTTAATATTATACTTCCAAATGATCTCTTTTAATAAGTTTTTTCCGATTGAAATGTTGTGTTTGTGTTCCCGTGCGTTCAAAAAGGCAACTTCCCAAATTCGAAGTATTTTTGCAGATTTTAATGTTGATATTTTTAAGTAGCTAATGTAGTGACGATTTTGGAAGTAGGTTAGCGAAGTAGCTTTGTCGCTGTCGGTCTTACGCCTTGTAACGCAGTGTGGTAGATATAAAGGTTTCGGAGATACAAAGAGTTTCCTTCTTCAGGGCTAAAGACGTCATATGCCGGAGGTACAACTCGGAACTAGAGATTCTGACCGCCACGAAAACCTCGCGTCTCTTACACTTTATTCAAGTTTGCCTACAGATTAATGATAAAACCTCACGTATGAGAAATTAGTGCACTTACCAACAACAATTTCATGATTCCGCTGTCGAAGAAAGACTTCCGCTTGCTGTACTCTGGCTAAAGGAATGCAGCGATGGACTACGACAATCTTGCTTTAGGTGGAACCATATATATATATATATATACACACATGATATGGAAGGGCCTATGTGCGTGTTTAGGTCGCTATCAATCACGTGACATATCGGTTCACGCCATTGTGAAGTCAGACGTTTTTCTGGAATGTCTACCAACTCGACGCCTGTATAAGATTGTATGCCCATAGGTTGAATTTATGGATATTACCACAAAATAAATACTAATTTTGTTTACGTAAATATTTTTCAGTTCATAAACCCAGCACGTGAAACGAGTTTTAATCTTTGATTTCCTTTAATAAGTTGAATGTTCATAACCGAACTTACAAAATCCTGCGATTTGACACTGTTCTGAGACACTTAGGTCCAATCCATGCCTTCACGATGTTTCATCATGCGCCATTATTAACACTTACTCTGTGGGGCCGAGTCTTTCCTGAGAAGCAAATATTTGTTCATACACTTAAGAAATTGCCAACATTTTATGAGACCCGAAGGTTCATCACCGTGTTCACAAGAGCCCGCCACTGGTCCCTATCCTGAGCCAGATGAATCCAGTCCATTCCACCCCATCCTACTTCTCTTAGATCCATTTTAATATTATCCTCCCACCTACGTCTAGGTCTTCCCAGTGGCTGTTTCCTTCTGGTTTCCCCACCAAAACTCTGTATGCATTCCTACTCTTCTCCCATGCGGCCTACATGCCTTGCCCATCGTACCTCCTTGATTCGTTATATTTCGTGATGAGTAAACTTAACGAAGCTCCTCATTATGAAACTTTATCCGTTCTGCTAGTAATTAATCCCTCTTAGGTCCAGATATTCTCCTCAAACACCCTCGGTCTACGTTCCTCCCTTAGTGTCAGAGACCAAGTTTCACACCCATACAAAACTACAGGCAAAATTATAATTTTTTTGTTTATTATAATGTTTACGTTTTTTTTTGTACAGCAGACGAAAACACAAAAGGTTCTGAACTGAATTGTAGCAAGAATTACCCAAATACTCTTAATGACTCTTAATTTCGACGTGAATCAAATTTTGGTTTGTTTCTGTCGGTCCAGAAGCTGATGTGTCCCATTCAGCTTCAGTCTCACCTCGTTTATTTGGATCTCCGGCCATTATTAATGCTATTTTTGTTCTATATTTACATCTAGGTCTACCAACTTGTCCTTTCTACATGTTGGTATCACAGTTTATACGACATTGGTGTATCAAATCTCATCAAATTCCGTACAGAGTTTCTGCAATTTGGTTTTACCTGTTAAATGCGTCTCTAGTTTACGAAACGATTTCACTGGAAGTATGTAGTGATTTATCTACGTGATTTTATGCACTGGCGATGAACATATTTCCGAAGGCTTAGTCTTCAACGCTTTAGGTTCATAATGATTTTAAATTTCACGCGCCAAGTTACAATTGTTAATCCTTTGTTGTCAAATAAGAACGATTTTCATGACGCTTTATGTAATTGTTGAAGAGATGGGATTGTTATAATAAAATTGATATCTTGTAGAAAAGAACTCGTTTGAAAAGTTGTCTGCTCGATTGGACGACAGATGTTTTCCTACATTCATGAACTGACGCCTGTTCTAAGTCTGACCGTTTTCCAAAGGAAACCTTTCCCTTCGCTTGGTCGCGGTGAGTGACGTCATGTTAATAAACTGACATCGTGGTGTTAAATCCAAAAGGATAAGTTAGGTTTCTACAATGTAGTGTGAAAAGTAAGGAGATTGCTTGAACGTCTGATACATTTCTTGTTCATCAGAGAAAAACTAGTTTATAGAGTAATGAATACGCCAACTAGACGTTCTAGAAGTTAGGTTAGGTTATGTTAGGTTGGGTTAGGTTAGATTAGGTTAGGTTATGTTATGTTAGGTTATGTTAGGTTATGTTATGTTATGTTATGTTATGTTATGTTAGGTTAGGTTAGGTTCGAGGTTAGGTTATGTTATGTTAGGTTAAGTTAGGTTAGGTTAGGTTAGGTTAGGTTAGGTTCGAGGTGATGGTCTGTACGCGAGAACTTGTTCAAATGAAGTACTTTTTATTACTTTCTGAATGTACAATAATGTCCGAACCTTCGAGTTTTGTAGTTTTGAAATGTCCGTCCACTTTTGTACGTAAACTTGTTATCGCTTTGAAGTGGAGTTGTCAGTAAGTTTCGTGCTGAGCTGATATTGAACTGTAAAATACCCGCTGCTAAGGAAAACTCTATAAACTCAGGGTCGTATATAAAAGCCATTGTTTCAAAAGGAGGGAGTCACCAGTCTACGGAAACAGAGGCCATGTTCGAACGAAAGTAATGGTAAGAAACAGCGATATATAACGTTAAAATTTTTGTCTTGGCGTGTCGATGAATCGTCTGTTCTGTAGGTTACATCGGGAAAGCGTTATGCGGATAGAAATAGCACTAACTTTGTTACGTTATCAGTAAAATTACTTCGTTTTTAACGTGAAGTCCTCATCTCGTGGCTTGCAGTACAGTCTGTAGGAAGCTAATTCCAGCAAAAAAGGGGAATCCCCAAGTTCTTCCCGAAACGTCTTTTTGTGTTTTATATAAGAGTGAGTTTTAAGTTTCTGTTTATACGAAATTTGACCACTAAACCTGGGCTTTATTTATTCTCGAAAGGTGGTCATTAGGAAGTTTTAGAACACCGATTAAAAACAATGTGATGAAGGTAACGCGAACACCTATGGCGGAATTATCGATACGGTCTAGCGTCTAGATCACGCAGAATAATATTAAAGATCTAGTTGCCTTATTCTCTGGGTTCTGATACTTTACAAATGTATAATTTCCTCTTGTTTGGTTTTGTTCAGGTTTTGTGGTGAATGGACTCTTGTTTTGTTACGTCATTCAAAAAGAATCTTCTTGCTCTCACTTGCCGTAATTTACGACTCCGTACATATTTACAGCTTCCGTGACGCTGTTTACGAAATGCTGTTTCACCAACTCCTCGGTGCATTAATCTCGGTGAGTTGTACAACGGACTGAAAGCCCTCAGGTGATGTAGCTTAATAATTACCGTACATTTCTCAGAGCTAATGAAGAGAGATTACGAAGTGCCAGAGAGCTCGTAAAAAGTAACACCCGACCCGACACCTGAACTCCCCAATTACTCGTCCCGCCCGTACGTGTGTGTCGGTCTTTTACAATGGCTTATCGAGTGTAGACCTTCCAGGCAAATGCCTGCAAAGTGTCTTCAAAAAGAATACAACCGTTTCCTTCCATGTCCTTTCTGATTCATTATTCGTCCTGTCGTCTGACGCTAAAAATGGATTTAAGGAAAAATATAATGTTTTATTTTTAAAAAAATTATAAAACACTTCACATCACGAAACTAGGAGGTGGTGATCATCAGGAAGTCTCCCATTTCCTGATAAATACAACAGAAAAATGATAATTAAGCCTAAGAGAAACCGAATTGTGATTTAGGACCTTTGATCCTGTCGACAGCTTCGTAAACAAAGTTTGTGTTTCTTTCAGTGCGTGGCGCTGTTGCGTGCGGATTTTCAGAACGGTAAGTACACTTTGGAGCCAAATGCACGCCACGAACGTGATACATTCTAAAACGGCAAAGTTGTCCTTGTTCTTAAGTAAGCGGCAAGTTAAGATGTCACACCCTCAGTCTGTGTTGTTTACGTACGGACGGAGACCAAGTTTCTTACGCCCGTTTAAAAACAACGTAAGATTACAATACCAAATAATTCGTATAAGAAAACGGTTTATTATAAGTTATTCCCGAAAATGTCTTGCTTTCTTTATTTCTTATCTTTCTGTGTTTCCTTCTCTTTTCAAAACTAACCTAACCTAACCTAACATAACCTAACATAACCTAACATAACCTAACATAACCTAACATAACCTAACATAACCTAACATAACCTAACATAACCTAACATAACCTAACATAACCTAACATAACCTAACATAACCTAACATAACCTAACATAACCTAACATAACCTAACATAACCTAACATAACCTAACATAACCTAACATAACCTAACCTAACCTACTTTCTTATCTTCCTCGTTCCATTTCGTTTCTGTCTACACTTTAGCGTTCTTTCCCTCCGTCCTGCTCTTTTTCTGTCTTTTTTGTTCTGTCCTCGTCTCCCGTCCTTCCGTTCGCTTCATTGAGCTGTTCGATTGTTTGAACCGACGACGAAACTCGACATCGCCTCGTCAGTCAATTGAAGATGAAATTTTCTGCAATTGTCGCGTGAGACCGCGAATGTTGGCGACACTGTTCGCTACTGCTGAATTGTTACCAGATTCGTCGAAGGACTTCGCGGACATCCTCGCGGAGCTGAGGCACGACCACCCGATCATCGTGAAGGCCAAGGACGAGAGGGTGGAAGTGCATAGCAAGTTGACCAACCTCGCATCGCTGTTGGAAGAGATCCTCCGCATTCGAAACTGTGAGCATCTGTCGTCGTCAGTCTGTTTAAACATTTTCATTCAACGCGACAATTTAGTTAAGAACCAAGGACAGTGAGGACCTTCATATTTACGATCGATTCCTTTAAATACTGAATGATTAAAATTTTAAAGCAATAAGTTAAATGACGATCTCTGTCTTCTGGGTTGTTGCGGCGTGTAATCTGGTAGAAGTTCACCGACGTTTCGGAGGTCCTTGCTGCCTCCATCATCAAGGCCATGAAACGTCTGTAAATTAGTAAATTACACGGCGTAAAAACCCAGAACGCAGTAATCTTAATCGATTTCGCCATTTGAACTTAAAATCTCAGTCAGGTTATTAGTTGTGGTATGTTTCGTTGATATAAACTCATCTTCAGGTCATTTTGGTGATGTAACACGCCAATTATGTATCTGGAAAAATAACATTTAAGTTGAAATTAAAATTAGCATTAAGTTTAAAACTAAATCGAATGCGGCTGTTTATATGGTGAATAGATCGATAAATTTTTATAAAGTACGTTCAGTGCAACAAGGCTGTTTATTCGGTGTTGACCACGTGATGAAGATGTTGAACCAGTTTTGTAAAACTTTTAGGTGGAGTGCTTGGGGGCATTTCATTCGAGACTATTCGAAAATTAGACGAAGTGGGGCGGGTGTTACATTTTCTCATCCCCAAATATTATTAGGGCCATGATATGAAGGAGGGTGGGATAGGTAAGGCACGCAACACGCATGCGTGAGTTTAGAAATGCACACAAAAAGCTGGCTAAAGACTCTAAGGCGAATTTACCATTTGGTGAAAACAGTTTAATATTAAATCGGTTCTTAGATAAATACAGGGTGTCCCAGAAAGATGTATAAACAAATTCAATGAATGTAATAAATACATTTTAGCAAAGTAAACCATTACATTGGTAGTCAGTAAATTAGGGAATGACCACCGTTGTCATCGTGGCGCAGTTGACAGGCGCCCACCAAAGTTGTAGCTGTGTATACGTATTTTTAGGACACCCTGTATGATATTGAGGTTACTGTGGTAATTTCGTAATGGGCCTTTAAGTCCCGTGACGGTTAAGATATTCCTTGACCGGATGAGCTACTATAAGCGTTTCTAGACGGAATGTGCTCTGTGGAGTACCATTATTGTTGCAGCCGGGCAGGACATCCCGGAAGATGACGAAAAAGTCCGCGACGAACTGACGTCAGCTGCCCAGTCCATCAGACGACTTGATGACTATAACGAGGAACTGATTGCGTATGGAAGGAACCTAAGCTGTTGGTTTGAAAAAGTTGCTGCTGCTTATTACGCCAGCTAGCGACCGCAGTTGCTTATGGCGACTGTCACATGAGGTCTGACACGTGCTTAATATGTGAAACGGTACTTTTGACGTGAGTCCATTGAGACCACCCTGTATAAGCGAATAAAAATATATAAAGAAGCTGATTTGCAAAGTTACAAGAAGGAATCATTTTTGGCAAATTGATTTCGTATTTTACACCCCTGAACTTGTGGCCGATCGGGTTATGACGTTTCTTACCATTACTAGGGAGGTGTCCGGTTCGAATCCCGTTCCCAACCCCGATTACTTTCACCCAAGGTTTCCCTGATCTTAATCAGCCCTCCGTCCATATAAATGTATGAACTAGCGTTGGTGTCAGCGTCTTTTAAATGCCAGATAGACGCCAGCTACCGGCCACGGCGATCGGAGTTTTCCTCTGGTACCTACCCCAAATTCCACCTTGCACTGCATGCCCCTCATGCAGACACGGCTCGTAGCATTTGCTCTCAATATCTGACTTCTTATTATTCTTATGCCTGTACTCTTCACAATTTAACTAAGGCCTGCGTTTTTAAAATTGTTTGGGACCAAAGACGTATTTTGCGATTTCATTAGTGATTCCGCTTGCGATGGATTGACGTCTGGAAGAAAATCCGTACTCGAAGATGTCGACTATATTTTCCTACCTCAGGACATGTCCAGGGGCGAATACAAGAGCGAACCTTCAGGTCTTATATAAAAAAGGGGAGATTTCGGAAAAAGGAAAAACTTAGCGATTATTAACGTTTCACGATGAGTCAGTTACTTAGTTAATTACGCAATTTTTGTTCTTTTTTGCTGACAAGATGGTGGAATCCAGGACAGATTTTAACGCTTTCCAAGATGTGTATATATTTTGACATTAAGCTAGTTGTAGAAGAGGTCTTGAGAAAAGTTAAGCCATGTGAAATATCTGACACGAATAAAAGTTCCTTCACTAATTCGGACCCTACTTACACACCTGAAACAGTTTAATCGAAGGTTATTAAGTTTAAGCTTAAGTCTGCTCACGTGCTTGCGTCCGTTTTAACAACAGCTCGCAGGCTAAGAGCACCAGACTTAAAGACGTCCCCACAAACATGGCGACGAATGCCGATTGCAAATGAGGCACGGACATCGGGACGTATTCGTCGGAATATTCTGGTAATAACTTCAACTTCGTCTTTGAGACGATGTCCTTGTAGAATTTGGCCGGGAACCCGCCCTCCACCAAGCGCCTGATGACGTCATTTATCTGATCCAGGAAGGGGCTACCCTTTTTAAGGACCATTACAATGTGGGAGTGGAGGAAATCGCGACTGGACTCGTGGTAGTCAAATGCGTCACTTCGCTCCCCTGCGTCGTATTCGGCGAACACTTTCCCCGATAACACAACCACACCAGGAGACCTTGAGGCTGCCGCCAGACACTGCTTCGCGCTTCCACAGTTGCGCCATGATCTGAGTTGGTTCAGTAAGTCATCGCTTAAGAAATCCTGTAAGAAGTCGGCCACGAAAACTTCCGAGCCGGATTCTATTACTTCTTCAACAGAGTCGATTTGATGTCGATGGCCAGGGTCCACGAGGTAGGAAGTGACGTAAGTTTGGAACACAGTGTTTATAGCCAGGGCGTACGTCAGCCAGACGCAGAAGATCCCACGGAGGACGTCGGACCGGGGCATTTCATGTACACCCACGCCTAGGACCACAGACCACGCGTTAAACAGGCATTTGGTAAAGTGTTTGTAGCCGTCAGACTCCCTCGCAGTCTGGGTGAGAGCAGCGACGTGAAATAGTACTCCGGCAAACAGCATGGCCACGAAGACGAGTAGCCAGACGTCTGGGGCAAAAACTCTGGAGATACTCAAGAATCGCGGGTACATTTCTGCACGGGGTATAAACCACGTGAACTCCTCGGCGAAGTAGCTGTTTGTGCCATCGACTTTCAGACTGTCCTCCAGAGTGAAGCACCAAGCACCGAGAGCCAAGTCACTTCTACGGTACAACAAGTCGCCGATCGGACCAGTCCACGTCCCGTTCTCTAGCTTGCTGTCTGTGGCGTCTGCCCTGGGCGGAAGCACGACGGAGAAGTTCATTGCCTCAGAAATGTGCCGCAACATGTCAATTTCGACTCCGCCCACAGATGAAATAGTTGCATCGCTTTTGTCCGGATATATAACGAAAGGCGGGAAATGCGAGGTAGAGACTTTGACGGGACACGATCCCAAATTCTTGGGAACGCTCCTCGAGAAGAGATCTTTGTTCAGAGAGAACTCGCGACTATCAGACATCCAAGCGTCTACTGTAATAACACGTTTCAGAGATCCACAGCGGCCTGAAGGCGGGGTAAATGGAAACCACGTGAGTACGTGGAGGTCAGAGAAGGGTTTAGACGGTCTAAGTAAAACTATTGCATTAAGTACTTGTTTGTCCGATAATTCCTTCAGTATGACCTTAATAAGTCCTCGCTGACTGTTCCGGATGTCTTGTCCCGTCATCACGATCACAAACCGGGCTCTGGGATTCCAAGACGGGAGACACGCGAGTTCCTCAATCTGATTCCTCGCATGACGCAAGGCTCTCTCTTCGTCATTGTTCTGGAACAAGACAGCCATCACGTAGCTGCCGTGTTTGTCGCCCCAGTCAAGAGGGTGGCGTCTGTCCCTGCCGTCTGTTGTACGGGACGCAAGGATCGGCCATCGGCCGGAGAGATGAAGTCTCGCCAGGAGGCTGGTCTCAACAACCTCCCAGGTTCCAGCGCCGTGGAGGTCTTCTTTTTCTTCAGCGTGGCTGTTCCAGGAGAACACTAGAGTGTGACCGGCAGGAAAGTATCGACCGCTGACTGTTGTCAAGCAGTCCGCCATGCTTCGGTACTCCACCGGAACTGGGCCGAGTACCGCCGAGTTGCCATTTCTGCTAATGATCAACAAAGTCGCTAAAATCTGCAAGCGAAATTAAGTACAATTTATTAATTACTTCAGAAATTTTCTGCTCGGCAGTCGCTGAACACTTCGAGGACTGCGTCTGAACATCTAAAGGTTTCCATCTATGGCGACGTTCTTCGGCCACCCCGATCGCCTGACCTGTCGGCTTGTGATTCTTTTTTGCGGTGGTGAGAATGTGGATTGTGGTCTTGTGGATCGCGGTTTATGCTACGTGTACGTAGAAAACCAGTTTAAAAAGGTAATATGTTGGTTAACTCTTGGTTCTGACAAGAAACATTCAAGGAGTTTGGGAACTAATATTATAATTCAGTCCTAGCACTGATTGGTCCCTCCCTAAGAAATTTATTTCGGTTTCCGAAAGCTTAAGAATTATGTTAAATTAACGGTTTATTAATTAAACTATGAAATAAAGGTTTTACGTGAAGTATGATTATAATGTTAATCAAGGATTACAAAAATGTAATTCGTATACCGGCTTTAAAATCCATTTGCTAAATCCACTTTTGTCATATTAAATAATATTGTTTAAGCAGTTTATGACACAAACCGCCATTTAACAAGATTTCAAGCCAGTTTTATCCATCTCCCACAATTCTCTTAATGAAAACGTGTTTCCGAACATATGTCTGTCTGTAAACATTATCGAATGTGCGTCTTAGATTTCACAATGCATCAATAAAATACCAGCAGTATTCTTAGATTTCACAATGCATCAATAAAACACCAACAGTATTAAGTAAGTGGTATAAATTAAGAATCATTAATATTTTAATTAATCACAACTTAGGATACGTGTGTTAAGTCTAAACTATGTTGAATAGCGATGAATAATTATGAAGAAAGCAAATGATTTTAATGAGATCTCAGGTTCTCACGGCTTCTACGAGTATGGACGTGGCTGTCTTCTGGATTGTTGAGCCGTGTGCCGAGTACCCATCGCCCTGATGATGGTGGCAGCAACCACCTCCGAAACGTCGGTAAACAATACTACACGGCGTCACAGCACAGAACAATAACATCGACATCATATCGCCGTTAGAATCTAAAATATTTTTTTAAATTTTTTACAAGTATCTTCTTTTGTAGAAAATATAGTCTGAATTTTTCTTACGAAATGAACAGGCGTTTCCAGTAATCTCATGCTCGTTAAAGTGCCCTTTGCTGAGGTTTGAATTCAAATGTTCCAACTGCTTCGATGGAAAGAAGCCAACATGAACTACGCACCAACTGATTTCATCATTGTCTTGTCGTTGACAGCCTGTCACAAAAACACGATTCAATGTTTTTGTTATAAATGTAGACTTTTCGTTTGTATTTCAAACGACGAACTTCTGTTCATGGTCTTAACGTCGTGTTATGATTGCTTATTTGCTCTGGAATAAAATGTACGTTTGTTGCGATTAAATTCTACCAGGCAATTTATCACAATTTGAAATCGTTCTGACACGTTTTATAAACGTCATGTCAGAAAGTTAACTCACTTTGCTTGTGTTCAAGAACTTTAGCCTAAGAGTTATATTTGTAGAAAAAAATATACTCGGAAATTATAAAACTCCTCTCTACATTTGTCGCAATATTAGCAAACTTAAACACAAATGTAGGAGAAAAGAAATATTGTTAATGCGTAATTTCGTAAACTCTGATGTATCTGTTCGTCATAGCTGATACGTGGTAGAGCACTAGAAAATTTTACACAATATTTTTCTCTTTGAAATTACTCAAAATAAGACTACCTGCGTCTTTATTAGGTAAAATTTACGAAATGGCAGATATATATTAGGGTAAAGATAGGCTTCAGATTGTACGTTATCTTGGAAATACCTGAGTTGGTTTTCAGCGCCTGTCTCCATGGCAACGATCCGAGTCGAACCTTCCGACTGAGTTTTTCGCGAGGCGTACGCAGGATGACGTCAGATGTTTGGATAAGATGACGTCACTCATTCAGATTTAAAAGACTTTCGCGACAGGACAATGTCGTTGCAGCTTCTGAATATAGATTTTTGTTCAGTTCAACCGACACAAAAGTTGTTATGATCGATAAAGCTGGGTAAAAACTGGGCGATGTTTTATCCGAGACAGCACACACGCGCGATGTTCATAGTTCACTTTCAGCCGCCTACCTCGTAATAATCGATTATGCTATTCTCGACTCCTCGAGCCGGCTTCCTGCCCGTAACTACAGTACAGCCGGAACAATTAATTTTACCCGGACTCTGGTTTCTTGTTGTAACAATTTTTTCATGTGACTGTCCGGATTAAAATATCGGCATTTTTCTCTACGAAACTAAAAGTTTCTAAGTTTATTAAAATTAAATTATTTGGCTATTACGTCAAATCACAATGTATTTAAAATAAGATAATTAAAATAATTAAAATATCATTCTTTCTTCCATATCGAATAACTGTTCCAATCGTAAATCGATTATTCGATATGGAACAAAGAATGATATTTTAATTATTTTAATTATCTTATTTTAAATACATTGTGATTTGACGTAATAGCCAAATAATTTAATTTTAATTCAATAAATCACAATATGACGCAACTACACTATTTTCTAAGTTTATGAAACGTTTCATGCAGATGGTATCCTTTATGCGTGTCGAAGCCATCAGTCTTTATCTTTCTAATGAACGAAGACTGACTAGCCCTCTCTGGATCGATATGTTTGCTCTCGCACGAAGGGGCCAGAAATTCTGATACGCCCTATAGTGACGAGGAAGACAGAGGTGACTTGTTGATTCATTCTCGCAAAGCCACTTACAGTTTCGGACTTCATCCAGTGCGGACGAACACATCTCACTTGACTTCAAAGTAAGTTTAATTCTAAGTCTTTCAATGCAACGTTCGATTAATTTAAACTGTAAGTACCAACTTCTTACCTCGTCTTAATTTAATATTAATGTCGACATATTTGCGTTAAGATTACAGTTTACTTGTTCTTAGTGAGATCCGCCGGATATTGGAGGCTTAGACGTTTCAAACGAGAAACAACTCTCTCAAAAAAAAATTATTTAAATGTGATCGTTGCGTCATTTTGTCAGAGCGTGGGGTTAATGAGTCAGAATGGAATCCTGAGTGTAAGTTGAAACAATTATGTAATATGTACTTGTCTGTGCATAAGAAGATTACGTGTGAGTTATGATTAGGTCTCATTTTAGGTGTGGTGAAATATTTTGTCGATTTAATTATTGAAAGTTAATCTCAAAACAACGTGTACTTTTGTATTCAGGGCTCCCTCTACTGTCAGTTGACTTAGTATGGTTTTAAATTATCATATTGCACGGGATTTTGAAAATAAAATCTTATATAAACGTATCTTATTTGGAGAATAGTCTCTTTTTTGCAGATAAGTTTATTGCAATGGAAATTTATCGTAAAGAATATCAATTACCATTATTATATTTCCACTTTTGTTAATTACGAAGCCTTTGTAATCCGAGAAACTGTTAAACTGCCTTCAGTGTATAAAGGTTTATATCGTTGTTGACTGAAATCTTATGCACACCCCACGAGTCGAAAACCTGTCTGGTAGATAGGAAATGAGGTCAGTATTGTGCATAAGAAATGACACATCCGGTGAGCCAATGGAAAGTCGTTCGAACTGTTCGAGCAGAAGCCCCCTCCTCTCAACCAGGGGTTCGCTGGAGGGGTCTTTGCTGACTAGAGGAACAAAGTCCTGCCAGAAAAGCTAACAGTCGTTGAGCTGATCAAAAGAATCTTTTTAATTACCGTGTTAATAGATAGCCGCGACTGTACCTAATTCTTGAGCCAGTTTAATCCAGTCCAAATCTGTCGCCTCATTTATCCCCGCTCATCTCACCTGCCAAATAGAGACTATTTAAGATTTTCTGACCAGAATGTCGTATTTCTCATCTTGACTACGTCACGATGACCAGACCACCTGAAAACCTTCCTGTTCGTAGTTCTTGAGTTCGTGCTAATGAATTAGGCAAATTCGAGACGCGTTGTGATATTTCGGAACGTGACAATGAAGGCTTAATGGCCAATTTCAAAGATTTGCCTTCGTCGGATGTTTATGACTGTCTATGTAACATATTCGTAGATACGTTTTTGCGTCTGGGATCTTAGATATTGTATCTGTAACTTGAGAACGCGCCATGTTGTGATAAAAACGGGCCCACTTAGCATGTAAACAAAGCACCAGCAGAGTCAAACAGAGCCCTATTAATGTCATGAGTACAGGCATACCTCGGAGATATTGCGGTTCCAGATCACCGCAATAAAGCGAGTCACACGAATTTTTTGGTTTTTCCAGTGCATATAAAAGTTATATTTACGCTATCCTGTAGTCTATTAAGTGTGCAATAGCATTATGTCTAAAAAAACCGGTGCGAGAATTACTGAAATGTGACGCAGACACACGAAGTGAGCACGTGATGTTGGAAAAATGACGCTGACAGACTTGCTCGACGCAGGGTTGCCAACAAACCTTCAATTTGTAAAAAAAAAAAAAAAAAACCCCGCAATATCTGCTAAGCGAAATAAAACGAGGTATGCCTACTCACAAGAGCCGTTGTCATAAACATCCGAAGCGATTTAACTGACCATTAAGAAGAATATACATATTTTTTCAGTTGAAAAAACCCCACTATAATCGAATTAAAATATTATTAGATTTTTAAATGTATTTTTTACAATTTTTGTCAATCTCAGTGGTCTTTAAATTCATTTATTTTATGTTTATACAGATTTATTATAGCAGTTATTAAGCCCGCGGGTGTCAAATTAACAGTTTAAAATTATTTTTCTAGTTTTTCGTTAATTTTCCTCGCTACTGGTTACGTAGGAATTTATTAGGTTTGGAGAAATTTCCCAAGTTCGATTTGAATTTTATGTGAATTGTTACCTTACACCGATAAGAACCGAAATTAAATTCACTGTACGCGTCTCGTACAATCCGACAAAAACTCTCAAGTACATTCGGAGACGAAAACACGACCTTCAATTTTTAATTATTTTCGTGCATTCTGTTTACGTGACTGTAATATGAGATGCGGCGATGTTTGAAATGCTTGTTTGTGCAGAACGTTTCGTAATTACTAACACTTAAAAGCCCACTGGTAAATACATTTCCCACCTAATTCAACTATCAGCAACTATTCATTTTGAATTAATGGGCTTTGCACGAAGTGGTTAGCGAGAACGCATTATGGAATCGCCGTGTGTGTTCAGTGGATTCAACTCGAGAACCACTGGGCGGATTTGGATGGAATTTGATACGGAGGTTGTGCCATTCTACTCGACCTCAGAATCGTACTTTTCGATATCCTACGAGCGGAAAGTCGTGAAATGGAGGCCTAGCAGGACGATATCTGAGTTGTAAATGTTATCCTGATACTCGTGGCATTTCAAGAGAAGAATTAAATTAATAAACTTTGAATAATGTTCCTTAATTTGTGGTCTATTTTACGTGGTGTAAAGTTCTGGAGAGATGGGTCGAACTTCAAAATCCATGGATCACTGCACGTTCGACATTCGTTATCCGTGGATCAGGGTGGTTTACTGTTACAGATGGGTCGTGCCACACTGTTGGTACTCGCGTCTATTTGCCTCGTGCTGGTGGCTCACGGCCAAGAAGTGACCCAATGTGATGATGTGAAGTGTCCGTGGATGGAGGAACAAATTTGCCCTGGGGAATTTATTCCACAAGAACCCAGCATCGGCAGATGTTGTTCGACCTGCGTGGTGACTGTTGGTGAGTAAAGGTCACACTTGGTATTCCCCGAGCATTGAACCCACGGCTCTTATCCCACGGAAATGTTTTATGGAGTTCGATGGTTCACTTCGTTACCATGTTTACGGGACCCCGCAACTGGACAATAACCTGAGCCACCTGAATCCGGCCCAAAATCTGTCAAATTATTCCTTCAAGATACTTGCCCCCCGCCTCCAGCGAACGAGAATTATCAGGCAGGGGAGTCACACCCTTGGACCCTCAAGTCGGCTGATCCACAAGGCATGAGTTCCCATCGCAGTCCCGTGCCCTAGAAAACCCACAATATTAGACGCTAGCGAGGAAATTGGTCTCTAAATGCTCGTTTATTTATCGCAAGACTGGAGAACAAAATCAATATATAAAGAAAATACCTAACCTAACCTAACCTAAAATATCCTAACCTAACCTAACATAACCTAACCTAAAATATCCTAACCTAACCTAACCTAACCTAACATAACCTAACCTAAACTATCCTAACCTAACCTAAAATATCCTAACCTAACCTAACCTTACCAAACCAAACTAAATCAATCCTAACCTAACCTAACCTAACCTAACCTAACCTAACCTAATATTTGTAAACGACAGTAACAGACTGAAATTGAATTAATCTTATGAACCCGAAATTGGTCTAAAGTTATTTAAACATCAAGCCCTTTGAAGAAGACAGCGCATCTCCGTTGCAAAAATAAGTTTTCAAAACTGTTTAAGGAAATATTGGCTGTCTGCTCTGACAATCACACACGGAAGTCATAAATCCACTTTGTGGATAAAATGCAGATTTACTGGTTTTTTAATCATGTGAATGTGATACGTGTAACTGAGCAGGTTAAATTTCGGTAATGCTTTGTACCATTCATTTCAAAACCCTTTGTCTTTCTGTGCGCTGTCTAAAAGCGTAAACTTTAACATAAACAAAAATAATTATAATTTTGCCTGTAGTTTTGTATGGGTGTGAAACTTGGTCTCTGACACTAATGGAGGAACGTAGACCGAGGGTGTTTGAGGAGAATATCTGGACCTAAGAGAAATTAATTACTAGCAGAACGGATAAAGTTTCATAATGAGGAGCTTCGTAAGTTTTACTCATCACAAAACATAATTAGACTGATAAAGTTAAGGAGGGTGCGATGGGCAGGGCATGTAGCCCGCATGGGAGAAAATACAGAGATTTTGTAGGCAAACCAGAAGGAAACAGCCACTGGGAAGACCTAGACGTAGGTGGGAGGATAATATTAAAATGGATATAAGACAAATAGGATGAGGTGGTTTGGACTGGATTAATCTGGCTCAGGACAGGGACCAGCGGCAGGATCTTGTGAAAACGGTGATGAATCTTTGTGTTCCGTAAAATGCTGCGAAATTCTTGAGTGGCTGAGCGACTGTTAGCTTCTGAGGAAGGACTCGGCTCCATGGTGTAAGTAAGCGAGGTACGTAAGTTACCGCTGTGCTTTAAAAGGTTAACTAAGAAATTGGGAACAGATTAAATTCAGAGAATCCTTGAAACCATGTACTTCAGAACCGTCTCTTACTAAACCATTTGAAACCAATATACAGTTCCAAACCATATTTCTTCGAATTAAGTTTAATATTACCCTTTAATCTAGCCTAAACCTGCCAAATGGTTTGTTATCTGACAGCATTACTCTCCTTGAACAGTCTAGTACTGACTTTGGTTTATAATTACAATTTGTCTTTCGTTGGTACAGAATTTCGAGGCTGTAATTGAAAGTTTTGAAGATGTAGCTTGCTGGAAATTAAACAGGACTTACGTTTAACAGTTTACATGATGTTTCCTGGCTGCCCCTCACGGTGGTTTCGACTTTAATATCGAGATATTTATCGCTAAATAAACAAATTATTTTACGCAGAGTCAGTTACAATCGATTATCGAAAATCGCATTCGAAGGACCCTCGCTGTGTATTAGAAGCCTAGCGTGGATAATCAGGTATATTACGATTTTTCTAAATTCAGAACAAAGTCTGGAGTAGTTCCTTAAACCACACCTTCTACATCATCCGCCATTAAAAATTTTCCGTCATTCAACGTTATATTTTACATGTAGTTAGGAACACGAGACTCAACAAATCGTTAGACAGTGCATCACTCGATATCAAATTATTAAGGACAGTGTATCTTTCCAGAGGGAGGTCAATCCTGTACGTCAGCACATCCTGGTTTCCAAATCGACTGCAGAAATCCTTACAACTGTCAAGATGGCGTCTGCTCCGAGTGACATCGCGATGTCTATAACAGGGGCAGTAACATCATGATGGATCTAGGTTCAGATTGACATAATGCATAGTGAAAGAGTTTCCATCTTCAGAATCTTCAACATTCAACTGATACCAATCTTTGTTGTCCTTACGTATAACCAAACAAATTGAAGTTCATTATTAAATTACATTTAAAGCAAATTGTGTAATTTTCTCTCCTCTAAACGAAACAGCTGTCGCGTGGCTTTGCTACTATCGAGACCATTAAAAATATAGATGAGTCAATACGTAGGAACACTTTTAGCAAGAGTTTTAAATGACTAAAAGTGTTTCTACCGCCACTGTGGTCTAGCGGTTAGAACGCTGGCCTTGTAATCCTGGGGTCTCGGGTTCGATTCCCGGCGGTGCCCGAATTTATAACTTGTGTTGGGCAAGGCCGTGGTCTAGGCAACACGGAGTTTTCCTCCATGGCATCCCAACAATTACTCCATTCACACACAAAAGAAGGCAATGGCAAACCACTTCTCGATCATCTGCCAAGAACGTATATGAACAGGTCCCAGGCCGAGAAAAGGAGGGAAGGATCCTGTTCATATGGACCTGTCCTCAGACAGAACACTAAATAAAATAAAAAATTAAATTTCTCGTCCAAGGATTCCTACCAAAATGTCTATAGATCAAGCCAACGAAAATTTGGGACCCGCAGTGCTCAGCCACTATCCCAGTATTTAAATTTAGGTCCGATTTCTTAATCTCAAACAACATTAAATTCAGTGCGTGTCAAATAAGGCGTGAATAATATTACATTCGATAAATGTAAAAATGAGATCCAATTTCTTAAACTCAATCAAAGCAGACTTGTATTTCGTGAGCTGTCCGTATTCCTCAGGATCGTAGAATTGTTAATCCACGTTTCGCTTATGCCAAAATGCCACCTCCCCCAAACACTGCGCTCCTACCGTCTCCACCTTGCTACCCTCTGGACGCTGTTCCATTTATCACTGCCTGCTGCATCGCCTCGTTACCACACGAAGTCAGTTCAAACCGTTATCAGATCGTGGCGTGCTTCCGCCCAGACACTGAAGCTGACAGTCCTATCACACGTGCTTACATATTAATTCAACGACTGAAATGAATCTTACGCCCAACACAAACAAACAGAGCGTGTCGCTGAAATGGCTGTTAACCTATCCGACTCAAATCTTGACTCAGAGTCTCACCCCCACAGCTACGACGCTGTCGAGTAGCTGGTGTTGAGGCTCTAGCGTGAGCGGAGAGCGCCATATCTACAAGGGTACTCAGTCAGGACAACGGGTCGACGCCGAGGTCTGAACTCCGGACTTCTAAATCGAAACAATTCCGGTCACAATATTGTATGCATATCCTGTTCCCCTATCCATGGCACACATCACCAAAATATCGTCTACCTTGATTTAATTAATGTAACAAAAACAGCAAAGAATTAAGAACTTGTTCGCTGTCTTTTTATTGTCTTCTGGATTGTAGCAGTTTACCAACGTTTTAGAGGTCCCTACTGCCTCCATCACCAGGGCTACAACCCAGAAGACAACCATCTTCAGACTCACCGCCGTGAAACCTAAAATCCACCATGAAAAGTGTTCTTCGGTTGTCCTGGACGAGTTCTTCCATTGGTGAATTCCGCGAAGTTGTGAAATGAAGATGGCTGTCTCCCAGGTTGTTGTCACTCAGGGCGATGACCTGAATTAAGTGGTATAAATTAAGAATCATTAATATTTTAATTAATCACAACTTAGGATACGTGTGTTAAGTCTAAACTATGTTGAATAGCGATGAATAATTATGAAGAAAGCAAATGATTTTAATGAGATCTCAGGTTCTCACGGCTTCTACGAGTATGGACGTGGCTGTCTTCTGGATTGTTGAGCCGTGTGCCGAGTACCCATCGCCCTGATGATGGTGGCAGCAACCACCTCCGAAACGTCGGTAAACAATACTACACGGCGTCACAGCACAG